CTGTGCTCTAGTTTTTGGTTGTTTTACTATAGCAGTGCTGCCACTTTTTGATCTAGCTCAATTATTTCTCATATTAATATGAAACGCGGCTTCATCAATTTTTTTTGTAAAATCCAGATCAGAATATTTCCATTCTATAAACCACTCGAATCTCGTCTGTAGGTTTCCCACTGAGTTTCTGACTTCAGGTTCAAATATCGGTTTTTTCACAGTGATGAGCACTGTGTTTCGTAAATGGTTATTAAGTTGCGACTTTGATATAGTAAAGTCTTCAAATCGCTCAGTCAAACTATTTATTATGTCGTCTGAATATAAATGGGGGTCATTATCGAGTAGCTCTTTTATATACTCGCTATGCTCGGCTGTAAATGAGCTTTTCGGACCACTGTTTTGTTCAGACTTTTTATGCTCAACCCCTTCTGTCCCTTCGTAATACTTCCGCCATCTTAACGTAGTGCGGTAATTAATATTTAAGTCTTTTGCAACCTTGGCCACTAGTCCACGCTCTTGAAGATTTTCGAGCATACGGTCTATAAATGTTTCTCTGGTGAAGTCGCTATAATTGTTGTATAACTTCACTGATGGCTTCAACTTATTAGGTTTCGACTGTTTTTTAACTGAGAACTCTTCAGCAATTTTTCCGGGGCGCTTAACGTTCAAGAAAATTTGTCGACTAGTTATTGTTTCAAGGACTATGTAGGAATCATCGACATGTGTTAAAGCATCCTCCATCGGATCGCAAACTTTGTCTCCTTCTTTATTAAAAATGTTTTCATGTCCATCTTCATAAAAAAAAAGGTATTCATCATTATGTTGTATTTTTATTAGAAAGAGAAAGGGACAAAAACAGGTGCAGAAGTTATGTGGCAATTACGCGCAATCTTCCCACCAATTTTATTTTTGAGAAAACGCCAGATTCCATAGGTTTGACTGTACCTCATTTGTACAAAGAAACATAGGCTAACCATTAAAGACCAAAGATCGCTGCTGGAAAAGGGGTTGTTGTGCTGTGATAATCATCAATTTACAATAGCCGTTTAGAGCTTTCTTTTTCGTTATTAAAAAGTCCATAAGCTTTGTATATGCGGACAATATAATGTTTACATTGCAGATAGGCTCGAAAGATCTTATTTTTAACTCCTTATTAGTAGAGTAAGAAGAAGGTGCATGGGAAAAGAGTTTGATCTTTATATCAAAAATAAATGTTGTCCAATACAATGAACCCATGTTTAAAACCTGTTATGTTGATATAAACGCATGCCCAGTCCTTGCAAGCATGACACTATTGACTATTTCTAGCTATCCCGCTTCTGCACGCTGTTCTCTCTCTCTTTTAGACCACTCGGTTAAGCCTATGTAATAAGATTTTAGATATCTACATGAAAAAAAAAAAAGGCTGCCAGGGTAGTATACTACTCCCGCGGCGCACACATATTTACCCAAAGGTCCTCACGTAAAAAAGGATTATCATGTGAGAAAGTTTTGTAAGTGCATGATACTAGCAAACATCAGGAGAAGATGCTTCTTATTTACTATTTCGGCCCTTTATCCTTTTTTAACGTCCTTTTCATGAACTCTCAGTTAGAGTATCTGCTTTCCCAAAGAGATAAAGAGAGCCCTATACGCATTTTTTATACAGTAATAAGTAATTACCCTACTTATCCTCCATACATTGGTATGAGATATAATAAAAAAAATCAGGCTACTTGTTATCTAATAGAGATGTATTACTAAAAACAGGCTCTTTGTGTTGAGAACGTGAAGTACACTATTTCCAGCAAGTAATGTCGTTCCAAGATGTCGTATATTGTATATTTTGTATTATGAATTTTCGAATTATGCGACATTACTTAAAGAAAAAACTGTATATTCTTTTTACGAAAAACTTAATCTTCAAAGATTGCATTAGGAGAAATATCTATCTACAAGATGCATTCTTGGATTTTTGAGAATTCAATTGTTGATAGGTTTCCCATATTTATGCATGATGCTATGGCGCATAACAAGCTCATTAGACTCGTATCACGGCATATCAGACTGTAATAAGGTGCATGTGTAGATTTCTACAGTTGACTTAAGAAACGAGAATTATCAGACTAGCAGCATCCTTACTAACGGCTCTTCAAGTCGTGAGTTTACAAACTAAGGGTTATTTAAGAAGGATTGTAGGGAAAATCTATCTCAAAATGGAAAAGAGAAAAAAGTGCTTTTTTTAAGGCTAATCTTGTTAAGCTCTAGCCTGTCGAGTGACTGATTAGTCAAGTAAATAATCCCCATCTCTCTCTCTTGGGACATCTTTAAGAGCCGCACTTGACTCCGTCCTTTTTCCTACCTGACACATGCTAAACACTGCACCTTGCACAAATACACACGCTCATAAAAAGAGGCATAGAGTTTTAGGTATCAATAAGCTCCGCAGCGCACTTTACTGCATAAGGTCTGTGTGTATTAGGCTAAGCCCTACTACTCCCAATAAAAAGTTCTCTCTTGTTTACTTCTTCATATACATACACATGATCTTATCTAAAATTTAAGTATAAAACCTCTTAGTAAGCTTTTCAACATTGGTTTTACCGATCATGGGGGGTTATCTTATGCTTGTTTAAACTCTTTACGACGTGATACACCGATTACACTTTGTGTCAAAAAAAAAATCGTGCCCGATTTAAAGCTAGCAAGTAGAGACTTTGCCTTATACGAACTAATCTTTGTAAGATGGTTGCGTTCATTTGAGATCAAACATATTCCCCCGCGCTCCTTTGCTCCACATATTAAAAGTCATACAAAAAAAAAAGAATTTAGCTACTCTTGAGTGTGACGAAAATAGTGTTTTATCTAATTTAACCTTGTAACCTCTTGATAAGCCCTTTTTTGTCTTCTTTTAGCAAACAAACCCTTGAGGGGTGATATCATATTTGCAGCTAGTTTTATGATGGCATTGAATTGAATGACACCATGATTTATTACATGTGATATTTAATTCCAGGATAAAGAAAGACATTAGGAATGATGCAATTTCAAAAAAAGATAATTTAACTAAAAATGGCTCTTATAAACCTTACTTGGTTTTTGCCGTAGATGAGAGAACTTTATTAAATATGAGAGAGAATATGCGATAGATGATAAAAGAAACAATGGAAGAAGAGGATATACGTGAATATTAAAATGCCGGAAATTTTGATCTAAAGGGATCTTTACGGACAATGCCATATAGATTGGTTGGTTCTTTATATTTTGCGAAACATGTCGTGTCACCATCGTCTTTAACCTTGGGCACATACGGTGGCTTCACTTTACGTTTCAAGACTTGTTCAAAATCAATGCTATCAAACCAGGCGTGCTTCTTGATCTCTTTGCTTGTGAACCGTACTTCGAGATCAGATGTAAGCAAGTTTTGTAGTAAATCTTTGAGTTCAGGGCTCATGTCTTCTGGCCACTCCACTCGACATTCCAAGATCTTTTGATACAAGTTCACAGGATTCTTGTCGATAAAAGGTGCCTTTCCTGTGACCATTTCGTATATGAGAACGCCCAAGCCCCACCAGTCGACTGCTTTTGTGTAGCCTTTGGAAATGATGATCTCAGGGGCCAGATAGTCGGGTGTGCCGCAGACAGTCCAAGTGGTATCTTCAATACGTTTAGCAAATCCAAAATCGGTTAGCTTGACATGACCACGATCATCTACCAGGATGTTTTCGGGTTTCAAGTCTCGATAGACAATATCCTTTTCATGCAGATAGGCTAGCGCCAGGACGACCTCTGCAGCATAGAATTTCGCAGTTTGTTCATCAAATTTCTTTTGTTTCCGTAAGATGCTAAATAGTTCACCACCGGGAACATAGTCCATCACCATGAACAGATGTGTATCATCCTGAAAGGCGTCCCAGAGAGTGACCACAAAGGGATGTGCGACTTCTCTAAGGATGGTAGGCTCGTTATTGATGTGTTCTACTTGCTTTAATCGGACAACGTCATATTTATCAAGGGCCTTGATCGCATAGTGTTTGCCATTGACCTTGCTCTGAGCCAAATGCACACGACCAAAAGAACCAGTGCCAACAGTTCGTTTGAGTATGAAGTCATCCAATTGAAGCTTGCGGTGCAGCCGACGTCGCTGTTGCTGTTGTTTATTTGCCGCACTTTTAGCGCGAGGGATGGCGTGGGTGCTGACACGAGTGACATGAACCGGGCGAGGAGAAAAATGTGTTTTCATTGGAGAACGGGGTATAGGTTGATTTTGAACGGAGTTTGATTGTGGACATGGGTGCGTTTGTTTCGTATCTGATGAATCATTGGTTGATAAACTAAAATAGCCGTCTGCCGGTTGCTGATCTAGTTTTCTTGGTAAAGGAGATAACGGTGATGCACGTGTGGGAGATGATGATAGATAGTCAGGAATAGCATTGATCGAATCATACTTTTTACTAAGTTCTTTTTGCTGTATAGTTATGGATTCTGGTGATAAAGTCAGTATTACTCGATATGGAAATAAATGACATTTAATTACCTGATTTATGATTGTCATTGTTGTTGTGAATGGGTGTGAAGGTAATTGAAGCAGGAATATGAATAGAAGAGGATGAATTTCTACCAGGAGATTGTCCTGGTGTATTGGCTGAATAACAGCTACCATCATCACTGGTTATGCTGTTGGATATACTAGGTGCATTTGAAATAGTTGATTCTTGACTTGAACTTCTTTTGTGAGACTTTAATGTTGATCTTCTTCGTCTAATCATTTCGACTCCTTTGTTAAGCAAATCCATGTTGAATAAATAAATAAATAGAAACTGTGAAGAAATAAGGTAAATAAGAAGAGCCTCCTTATTTATATTAAATTCTAAATTTAACAGTCACAAGGGTACCTGATAATTGCTTTTTGACAATTAAATCAAATGGGAGAGATAAAGCTCATTAAAGGAAATTGCTATTCAAATGCCGCAAAATACTCAATCGGATATAGGTCATTGATAAGACTAAAATATTGATTATTTTTTTATTACGTAGATATACAAACTCAGTTTATGGGCAACCCACACACACATACACACAGAGGCATACTTGCGCTTACTTTCTTCATTTTACTCCTACGTCATCCATTTTTCTAATTCCTTGTTTATGTTTATCATCATTCTCTTACAACTCATTATAACTCTTTAATAACAAAATAATAATAAAAAAACGTCATTTTAAATGCCGATCTGAATCTCAACTTTTATTGATGGTCATACAAATCTTTAAGAAACCCCTTTGGTAGAAAGTAGAAAAAAAAAGGTGCATTTCTTATCAACCATATCAATCAAAATAAAAAGGCCTGCATTGCAAAACGAGTATTCGGAGTGCATTTACTCCTTTATTTTGCGTTCATATGAGCTTTTGTGTTGATGACCCATGACGAATGAAAAGAAAAAGGCCGCTACAAAATAACGCATACAAATCAGTCAAATGAATAGTTTTTTTTTGCTATGCTTTTTAAAGCAACTTTTAATCTTGATGACTATATTTTGAAAAATAAAGAAAAAGGGAAGCAGGAGGGTGATAAACAATGCATCATGCTTTACCTTGTCAATAGGCCTATCATTTTAATATTGTCTAAATGACGTGAGTCTTTTTAGAATATAGAAAGATAACATCAGTGTATAGATTACTGCTATAGAATAAATATATAAAGATAGATTCAATATTAGCTATATCTGCATTTGCCAAGATTTGCAGTTTATCAGACCAGTTACAAATGAATACAGAGCAAGCTTATGCTACGGGCTTATATCCTCTTATTCCGATCATTCATCCGGCTTTTTTTATATTTGTACATGCGCATCATGGATGTTTCCATGCCTACAGTACTCTAGCTTTCAAATGTATCCATTGATCTTATTTACTGCAGCAACTTCATTTTTAATGACTTGTTTGCGGTCGATTTTATTATCCAAGAATTCAGGGGCATATGAAGAACAAAATAAATCTCCTTTACTATATCAGCACTGAGCAGATCAGATTTTTTTAGCGTGCATCCTAGCAACAAAATCAAGCCAAAAAAAAAAAAAAATCCATAATAACATGAGATCTAAAAAACAAATTCTACTTAAAGGAAAAAGAAAAGGTCCCTCTTTTGTTTGAACAAGTGCAAACATAGACGGTCCACGTCATTCGCAGAGATACAAACACGCCCTTTTTTAGAAATTTTTTCTCTTTTTTTTTTCTTGATTCTTTTATGCAAGCTAATCTACAGGCACAATTTTTGCAGCAACAGCGATTAAATGCTGCTGCCGCTGCCGCAGCTGCAGCAGGTGGTAATACAGGTGGAGGCATTGTACCTGGTGTCATGCCTGGACAAACACCAAATCCTCCACATCCATGGCAAGACATGGTTCGAATGCAGACAAAACAACCATTCAATATGAAACCAGCATCTTCTGAAGCAGCACAAAAGACACTAAGACAGTACGAAAGGCGCGACGATGAATATCAAGCCATACTCAATACCCAATATAAGCGTCATGTCGAACTGGCACAAGAAAAGAAAAAGTTGATCGAACAGGCTAATTTGGAAAGAAGGATCAGGAGCCAAAACCCTGCTCATCTATTTGGACCAGGATATCAATCATTTGGTAATGGAAAGACAGGATTTCAACCCAAGATTAAGTACCCTGCTGAAAAGAAGAGGAAGCAACAAGTTCGATTTAATTTGTAAAGTGAACATGGTTATAAAAGAAACAGGTACTAATTCTTTTTTTTTATAAAAGTTCAACAGAGGCTTTAAAAGAACAAGCAGATAAAGAGGAATGTTTAGTGCCTATTCGGATTGACTTGGAGATTGAAGGATATAAACTAAGAGACACATTTACTTGGAATCTAAATGGTAATTAATATAGTAGGGCGAATACAAAAAGAGGGAGACTCATCTTTATATGTATAGAGACATTGATTACACATGAACAATTTGCTGAAGTCATTTGTCTTGACCTAAGGTTACCACCCAGTCTATTTGTTGAACCTATTGCCAAGTCAATAAAAGAACAACTAGAAGATTATAATCTAAGTGCAGCCACGCCTCAAGAGACAGACGAATTAAAGACGATCATTAAACTAGATATCACTGTGGGTAATAAGGAATTGATCGATCAGTTTGAATGGGACGTTGGATGCCCAAAGAATAGCCCTGAAGAGTTTGCAGAAAAGCTGGTAACTGAGTTGGGACTTGGTGGTGAATTCAAGTGAGATATCAATTTTATATAAAAGAGGGATAGCAGCTAATGAAATATTATATAGGACTGCCATAGCTCACTTGATACGAGAACAAATACATGTATATAAGAAATCACTTTTGGTACTGGGAGAGGAAGAGCAGCAACATGAACCTAGCCAGATTGGCAATGCAATTCGTGATAATCAACAAGCAGAAGTTTTCACACCAGCGATTATTGAATTGACGGATGCTATGATTGAAAGAATGGAAAAGGATCAAACAAGAGAATCGAGGTAATACACTACATAACAAAAAAGAGAATGAAACTAATGTTGAGCAGACGTAAGAGGAGAGGCACACGATCTCGTCGCAGCATCGTGACATCAAATGATCTCGAGCCTCAAAAGACACACCGTACAGGATTTGCGGCACCGCCTGAGCAGGAATTGACGGATGAGCAATATGCGGGTATGGGTTACGATAATGGCATGTCTCATTTTTCAACACAAAGAAAGAGTGCCATTAAAGCAAGAATGAATATTGCAGCAGAAGCACAACAAGATGCTGCTTTAGAAAACATTTAGTTTACATACACAATTCCAAGTTTGGATTTAAAAATAATATATTCCTTTTGTTATTTTTTATTGTCATTTCAAAGCATAAAAAGATGTACCCAAAAATAGGAAAACAGAGAGAGAAAGAGAGAAAAAATAGAGTATGACTAGAAAGAGAAAGAATAATCACACCTCTCATACTTTATTTACTGTTACACTTCTTTTTTTCTTTTCTCTTTTTTTTTTTCCCTCTTTTTCTTTATATAAAAATTATTCAAGCTGGACTCTGCAAACTTGACTAACCACGACACTACGACTGTCTGTGGTCCAAACGATCCTGTTGTCCTTTATGTTCACTGTTCACCGAATAAGCCAGACCCTCACATACGTATAAGAAGACAGACGACATCGAATGGGATACCTCCTGTGATAACAGGTAACTTTATGTTTTCTTTATTCTTCACTAATTCTTTCAGTGACGGGAATCAAAAAGGAAGGTCGATCACCACACATATTCGATGAACGACCCGATAGCTCAGTCAGGATCATCGTGCTGGATCTTCGTAGTAACGACGATTCAAACACAGTCAATCATAATCAACCAGCATCCAAGTTTAAAAAGATGCCTCTTGACTTTTGGGAAAATGTATTGCATATTATCAGAGCTTATAAACCAAATCAAATCACAGATAGTCCAATTCAAGCGTCTGCTACTGTTGATGTCTATACAAACATTATTCCTTCACGACAGCCGTTACCAACACAACAACAGCCACAACAACCACAACAGCCAACCATGTTGCCACATATATCACCACACCCACCAATATCCAGCTTTAATCCTACCATGCTTCATCCTGCCATGTACCCAAATAATCCATTACTCTATAATCAACATAATTACATGAACGTATTGACGGCTGCTCAGTACATAATGAATGCAGCAGCAGCTTACAATTCTATGTTAAGTCAACAACAACAACAACAACAACAACAGTATACACTGAATTCTCCCGTTGTTTCTCCTCAACAACAACATGTACAAATAAAAAGAAAGCCAGTACAGTATCAAAAACCAATGGGGTATATTCTTAGTCCGCAAATAGAACAAAGAATACAAAGAAAAAAAGTAATACCACAACAACAACAACAACAAACACGACAGCCAAAGCCATTACATTATCCGCCGCCACAGCAACCTCCACAACAACAGCAACAACAAAATAAAAAAAAGGTACGGTTTGATGAGAAACCGACATGGTATACATATGAACGTGAAGAAAGTGATGATGAAGAGCAGACAGATACCAATGTTGATGATGATGATGTGTATTATGAGAACAACCACGACCTATACGATGATATGGATCATCATTATACCCAAACTTATTCCATAAATAGTAACAGAAACGGCGATAGTAGTCATAGTGGATATATGCAAGATAGACCATGGGCATCAAGTATTATACTGAATAAACGTAATAGTCTGAAAGGGTATCGTTATGACGATGGGGTAGACTATGACGAAGAAGATGATGACATAGATGGATATGGTGATTTGTGGGAAAAGCGATATTACATCCGTAGACATGACTCATTAGGTCATCGTCCGCCTGTTCGAAGATCAAGAGTGTAGAAGAAAAGAATTGTTGCGCATATGGTCGCGTCTTTCTCTTTTTTCTCTTTTATATTTCAAACTGTTTAAAATAAAAAAGGAAATGTACCAACTACAGCCACGCACTTACACAAAAGGGAAAAAAAAGAAACTATCTTGAAACAATATCTTTATGCAGAAAGATGTAGCTTCATCTGATTGTCGTCATTATTATTACTATTATTACTAGCGAGTTTAGACTATTTAAAATATGTATTTCTAATTCAGGAATGTTTATCAGATACTCATTATTAATTGATCCAACATAAAAAAAAAAGTCATGTCCAGACTATAGAACACAATAGAAACGTGAATCCTGTCGTCGTGCTTCTTTTTGCATGAAATTTATCAGACATGCTAATGAAATACAATTCCCCTTTATCAACAGTGAATCATTATTTTTACTCTATCTTCTATAGTGTGATCTGTGACACGCTCAGGTAAAGCTGTGAGTACCAATATTTTGACTGTTATTGATTGGCAGGTACTTTTCCTTTTGTACTAGTCTACATTTCACATGTACCCCCCATATTCTCTACTCCCTTTGTTATTTGCATTTTTTAACAAACTGATTTATTTATGAAGCAATGATAGATGTATACCCTTTGGATTATCAGTAGAGTATCTTTTCTAAATTCAGGTACTACTTTGTTTACTCAGTGGCTTACAAAATAAAAGTGGCTTAAAGCCAAATGTTATTACCGATGTTCAAGTGTTGTACCGCGATTTCATTCATTATTCTATATAAAGACAACAATGAAAGAGATACAATACCAAAGAATAAAGATTAAAAATGTGTATCAACTAAATAAAATAAGCTGTTCTGTCTATAATGAATTCTTTTTGTTTACATGCTTATTTTTGCTGACCTCACAAATTGTTTCTCCTTTATAACTTTTCCTTTTCTGTTTATTTTTTTTCTTTTCTTCTTTTCTTCCTTTCACTTCTTTTTTATTACATATTACATATTCATCATCATTTTCGTTTTTATATAAAGACTTGATAAAATGGATCTAAACATTAGACAACGCGTAAGTTGTGCGTAAATTCTTTAATGATTTAATTATTCATCGTGACTATAGGAAAACGACATTCAACCAAAATTCAACAATTCACATTCATCATCAACAACGACAACAACAAAGCTAGCAAATAACACTTCTTCATTTACTAAAAATATCCTTCAACGACAACCACAACAGCAAGAGCGTCCGATTCTTTCTGATAAGAGTAACAACAGAAAAGGAAATGGTATTCAATTAAAGGTAATAAAAAGAATAAAAAAGACTATAAAAATAAAATATACTGATATAAAACAAGTCTTCACAAATCCCTGGTGGAAACAAAATAAGAGACCAAGATGATAAACCAATAAAAAAGGAAGATACCCAACAAGTTCCAAAGGCAGATAAGCGTCAAGAAGAATTTGATGAGCTTGTCAAGGATTTCTTTGAAGATAACGAAACAAGATACACAACTGATGAACCAACAATTGAGGTTGTTCCTATTATTCCTATTGAAGTCCCTGCACATCTCAAACATTTATTTAAAAAGAAGCCACTTAGTAAAGCTATTGGTTTAAAGCGTGCTTTTGAAGCAGATGAAGATGAAGTACAAGAACATCATAAAAAGATGAAACTATACAAACAAAAATACCTTGTGCCTGGCGCCCCTCCTATCGAACTAGATACCAATGATGAAGCTATTGCCTTTGATAAAATGCAAGAAACACGCGCTCAAAACCTTATGCTTCAATCAAAGAACCTGTTGCAAGAAGTAAGCTGTAATGATCCCATGATGGTAGCTGAATATAATGAAGAAATATTCCATAACCTTCTCAAATCTGAGCATCAAAGAATGGCTGATGCTAACTATATGGACAAACAGGTCGAAATCAACTGGTCCACACGTGGTGTCCTTATCGACTGGGTGATTGAGGTTCATTATCTCTTTCAGCTATTGCCTGAGACCCTATTTTTAGCTGTTAATATCATTGATCGTTTCTTATCCAGACGTACGGTTGCACTAGGCAAAATGCAGCTTGTAGGTACAGCTGCTCTTTTTATCGCAACTAAGTTCGAAGAGATGTACTGCCCTGCCCTTGAAGACTTTTTATACATGACGGGTGACACGATTGAAGAAGATGAATTAGTCAGGGCCGAGTGCTTTATTTTAAGCATATTGGACTTTGAACTATGCTATGCAAACCCCATGAATTTCTTGCGACGTCTCTTGAATGAGGATCCAACCGCTGATGTCTACACACGTACCTTGTCAAAGTACTTTATGGAAGTCTGTTATATTGATCATCGTCTGATGACCGTCAGACCTTCTTTGATGGCCGCTGCGTCTGTTTGCCTGGCAAGAAAGATGCTTGGTAGAACCAAATGGACCTCTGATCTGATCAAACTTTCAGGATATACCCTTCATGACGTAAAGCCTATTGTCGAAATCCTTCTTGACTATTTGTCACAACCTGTTGTTCATGATGCCTTTTTCACAAAATGGACTTCAAGAAAATATTCCAAGGCAAGTATCTTTGTTCGTGATTGGATCAATCGTTATTATGTTAGTGAGAATGGGCCTATTTAAAGGTACTGTATAAATACCCCCTTTTATGAACCAAATAAAAATAAAAATAAAATAAAAAAAATAGCTTGCATAACATTATTAATTTATTATCTCTCTCTCTTTTCTTAAATGTCACAAATCGAAAGCTCATTCAAAAACTCGTTACGAGGCTTTCAACTGTCAAGAGGCAACAATATAGCCTTACCTACAAATGACACAGCAAAATCAGCATTCCAATCTCTTCGTGAGTCTGCCTCGAATACCTTTTCAAACGTCACAAATACTGTTCAAGGTTATATTCCTATTGGCAATGTTGAAGAGGAAGAAGAACCATGGTATCAATTATCTCGAATGGAGGTATGCACAGAGTATCTTTTTTTTTATTAATTCTAATAAAAAACAATAGAGAGTCTTGGCTTTTGCACTTTGCTTGGCACTTGGTATTGGCTGCTGTTGTTTGGTAGGTTTTTTTTGTATTTTTATGCACACCTGGTTTTATATCAATACATTATATATAGTCTTTCTTCTTTTTACCTTTATTCTTGGGGAAGTTTGCAGCTACATTCACATGTAAGTGATAATTACTTTTTAGAAAAAGACAGAATCCAACATTACATAGTGGGCAGTGTCTTGATTTTGGTGAGTGTGGCCTTATTACGTGGTCCTTGGGCACACATTAAACACATGGTATCAATGGAACGATTGCCGTTTACTGTATCTTATTTAGGCTCAGTAGCACTGACGTTATACGCTGCATTAATTGTAAGCTGAAAGAAAAAAGAACATAACCATAACGTTTAATACATTTCTTAGGCACGTAGTACGACACTAATCATCATCTTTTCGGTCATTCAGATCATTGCTCTGATATGGTAAAAGAAAAAAAAAAAAGAAAGATCAAGCTGTTTATTTACTTGACTTAGGTATGTTGGATCTTATATCCCTGGAGGTGTAACAACGTTAAGATACGGAACTTCATATATCGGAAGACGTGCAGTCTCAGTTTTACCGATTTAGCAACAAGAAAAAAAGGAGAGCAGAGTGTATATTTATTCTATTATCTATGAATAAAAGAAAGATTATTTACAATTGAACAAAAGTATGGATCATTATGATGGTGATATAGGATATATTTTTGGACGACCTAATCGTCCTGGCTTTTGCCTCTTTACTGGCAAATCAACAGATTCATCATCAAACTTTTTCGCATGCCTTTTTTGTCTATCTACAGGCGCATACACCTGCCATTCATTGATCAACTCTTCTTTGATCTGAGGATTCTTAATCCAAGCAAGCATCTCATCTGCCGTTTTTCGTTCCTGAGGTGTTACCTTCAGAGTATGAAGCAGTAATTCCTTACTGAGCTTGCCAGGCACCTCTCGTTCAAGCGCCTTTTCAATGTTATAATCATCACCGACGATATCACGCAAACTTTTAATATCTGTCTCCAGGATACCGTACCAGGGTTCGGTCTCGGCAAACATCTTCCAGATGATGGTGCCGATCGAATACATATCTTCGGCTAAAGGATTGATCAACCATGGCAGCTCTTGGGTATCGATGCGACTCTTGGGCATGGTCTGAATTGATCGGTACAGTCGGTAGCCATGATCAGGCTTTGCTCGCATCCACGGCAGCTGGTCACACCACTCCTTGAGCTCTTCCTCTGTTGTCGGAACAATCTCACTCGACTCTGTCTCGCCCGGAGGCAACTGAATCCACCACTGACGGACATCCGCAGGAAAGACAAATGTGGACTTTCCAAAATCAATAAGATAGACCTCTGCCTTTGTGCTTCCGTCCGGTAACCGCTCCTCGGTTTCGTTCACCATAAAGTTGACCTCGGAAAGATCGCGATGAGCTAAGCCGTGGTCATGAATGGTCTTCATACATTCGAGCAACTGTATCACCAGGTCCATCTTTTGATGCGCTGTCAGACGGTGATGTGAGTGCGCATGCGTGTACTGCTTCAGTGTCTTTTGGTACCGCTCCATTGAAAGCCCAATGATCTCGCCGTTCTCTTCAATCACTTCGGTAATCTGTCCGATATGAGGCTTGTCCTTTAGTTTCAACAGACTGGCAATTTCAGTTACCCTTTGTGCCGTCGTCATGCGTCGAAACGTCTGCACTACCTTGCGCTTGTCGTCGCGGAGAAAGTAGACCTGTTTGAAATAACCTTCGGCATTGGGTGATGTCTTGATGTCAAACCTGTAGCTGTTGATGTTTTCGACCGGCACAGACAGTTCCCTAGACACTACAAGACATAAATTGCCCGCCCAATGTTTAGTTGTTTTTATTATATAATCATTCAGAAACTTACAGTCTATTAGCTTGCAGAATAACTGTCTACTTCGGAACTCGTATAGTTGGGTTCGTTTAGCTAGATCTTCACTAGATATCTCCATAGGCACAATCGCTACACTGTTTACCGTTTCCCCTTTTTGTTCCAGCTTTACAGTCTCTATTATACTCTCTTTATTACGTGTTTCAATGGCTGCAACTGACATATCTGACGTTGTAGGCATTGCTGTTGTAGACGACGTTGCGAGCGTTTCTGGTGTAGCTGGCATTGCTAACATTACTTTTGTTTCTGTGGTAGGTGCTGCTGCTGGTATTACTTCTGTCATTACTTTCGCTGGCGTTGCTTTTGTTTCTATGACAGACGCTGCTGCTGGTAATACTTGTGTCATTGCTTTCACTGAGGTTGCCGACATTATTGGAGTTTCTGTAACAGGCGCTGCTGTTGTCACCACTGTGTTAGGTGGTGTTGATGGCTCTGCAGATGCTGCTGCTGGCATTACTTGTGTCGTTACTTTCGTTGACGTTGCCGATGCTATTGGAGTTTCTGTGGCAGGTGCTGCTGTTGTCATTACTGTGTTAGGTAGTACTGGTAGTACGGATGGCACTGTAGTTGGCGCGACTGTCTCTGTTGCTGCTGACGTTACTCTTGTCGTGGTTGTCGCTGGCACTACTGCCGTTTCTGTTGTGGAAAGTGCTTGCTTGACAATAGGTCCTGCCACAGCTTCTACTGAATGAGACAGGTTGGACTCTGTAGCCCTGATACCCGCGTTATCCTGCGGGTTAATCGTCGTTCTACCTGGAAAAGCATTAAGACTAGCTAGATGCCATGTTAGGTTACGAGCAAAGGCCATCTCAAAAGGCTCTCGACCAGGCTCAGCAGGCGCAACTTCATTTGGCTTCTGTTGAACTGCTGTATCCTTTTGAAGGTGCTTGGTAGCAGCCGCCATCAGTTTATCATATACAGTAACTTCCTGCTGCTTCTTTTGCGCCGTTGTTGTGGCAGCCACAGCCGCAGCAGCGGCTTGTTGAGCAACTGCCTTTGTCGCTTCGTTCACTGGAGGTGGAAGACGTCTGCTTGGATCCGGTCCAGGGCAATTGGGTGCCTGACTGGGGGGATGTGGGGGAGTGTAATAATGCACTGGTGCCGTGCATTGGGTCTGCCTGTTATGCATCGTCGTGTGTCGGATATCTGGATTAACCTGCCAAGGTTGAATCCATACAGGTCTCACGTTTGGACGAGGAAGGCTCCATTGAGCTGTGGGTTGTGTCGGAATGTAAGATGAAGAAGGTTGTGGAGAACGAGAGCCGTTTGGTTCGGATTGAGTGACAGGTGGCCAAACGTACTTTTTCTGCTGTTCTCCTCGCACAGAACGATGCATTTCGACCAGAGGAGTCTGTGGTTGTTCTTCTTGCGCAGGGCGATGCATTTCAACCATAGAAGTCTGTGGTTGCTCTATTCGCAAAGGACTATGTGTTTCGACAAGAGGAGGCTGCGGTTGCTCTACCCGAACAGGAAGAGGCGTTTCAGCAAGAGGAGACTGCGATTGCAAGCCATTCGAAGGTATGCCTTGGTTTGTGTTGTTATTTATAGGTGCACGCGGCTGTCTTGTGGGATCTTCCCGGGTATCAGAAGTAATTGGTTTTCTTTTTAGAGGTAAGCGAATAGCTAAGGAAGGCAGTCCATTCTCTGCATTCGTCTTTAATTTCTGTGGCTGTGTGTTTATTTGATTTGGCACGTGTATAGAGGTGTTCGGCTGCACGGCCAAGTGATTGGATACAGGAGATGGGTTTCTATTGATCTGTGTGTCTTCTTTGTTGCTTGACTCCATAGGACGTATGATCGTCGCCTGAGGACTATTTTGTGAATTATCCGCCCTGACTGTGTTCTGTGAGGTACTGTCAGATAGTCTTTGCTCATGCAGTAAATCAGACCAAAATGAGCCCGCTTCTTGTGTAGGAGTAGAGGATCCATTAGGTTTAGTAACCGACACAGGCTCTAAGATGGATCTGACAAATAATCCGTAAATCCCTGGGTTCGACATCTTTCTTGCATCTTCTTCAGTGGTCGTCAAGCGGAACGTCCTGTACACTCCACGCAAAAACATCTTGTCGATCTCGCTATTGATAACTGTTTGTACATTTTCTACTACTTTAACAATCTGCATCTTCATCCATGCACTCGGCCCGTTTTCACGCTTATCGCCATCAGGAATGGACGCTTGATGGAATGCATGAATCTCACCTATGGGCTCGACTATGATCACGGTTGCGATGAACCTGAGTAGATTAGCCGGGCTATCAGGGATTGGCTCAATACGGACGTTATAAAGCACGGCTATGGACGCATTTGGATCTTTTATACCCTGCGCTAATAACGCTCGATTCTTTGAAATGTAAAATCGAGGCAGTGGTAACTTTGATTGTTGCGTATGAGCAATGCAGTTGAAAAAGGGCTGATTTAGCTGATAAAATAAGGTTCGAACGTTGGCGTAGCCTCTTAGTTTTCTTGTTGGATCATCTGGTATCGTTTGTATGAAATATAAAGTGCTATGTAGAGTCTGCATAAGTACGTAGCTTGTGAATCGATATAGACACTTATACCTTTTTCTATGTGGAGTAATTTCTTTGTACATCGGTAACCGAACAAGACACGTTCTTTCTTCTGCAGCAGGCTGAAGAAGTATGCTATCTACTTCTTTTATAGTAATTGATAAAAAATTGGGTCTACAACGACAAAAGGATGTCAATGATATATATATGTACAAGATCATCAAACCGTACTTGGGCCCTCGTTCAAAAATGTATGTTTCTAATATATGGAATTTATCTTTCAGCACTACAGCTTGCTTATAAATTGGATCAAAATCGCGGTGAAAGGTAGTTGCGTTGGTCCAAATAAGGACAAGATCTTGTCGAAAGTCTTGGTAACTTTTATATTTATTGCTAAACAAGTTTTGTTCCAAGGTTGTAAAGTCCATAGGATGCTCGATCTCTTGGTGGTATACAGTAGCCGTCTCGGGGACTGGCACGATGAACTCGATGCATTCGAAACAAGATAAAAGTTCGTCCAATATGAATACGCACTGTCGAAAGGGCCTTATTTTCATCGATAGACCGTCTATACTTGTTGTACGAAAGTTGTCAAGATCTCCTCTCTTGGACGACATGGCAAAGCTAATCTGATCGTCAATATGTTTATATATAAAAAGGAGAGAAATAAAGAGCGAGAGAACAAGTAGAAAGTGGGTTAGAGGCAATAGGTTACAGAAATTCGTTCTTGTGATTCCCCAGTCACACTCTTGCAGAGAGAAATAGCACATAACATAAAATCACTGTAATATATCATTACGTAGAACATGCGCCTAACAAGTCTTTTGAATGAAAATGACACTGCATTTGCAAGATTTTTGGTAGATATGTCCCACAACAGTAGTCTTCAAGGCAATATCGTCCTTCCTTCCTTCTTTCACCAGACCACTCAATTAGTCGAATTCATCAGTAGAATTTATAGAGATGAAGATTTGCAAAGATCTAATTTGAATAGTTAAGTGTACTTTGGTGAAAGGGCAATCCTAGCTAGTCGTAATGATACAGTGGATAACATCAACATGGCTGTGCCTGAAAAGATGCCTTGTGAGAAGGTTACGCTTCTGTCTACAGACTCAGCTGACATCAACGACGCTGATGGCCTGCATACTACTCCTGCAGAGCACCTTCACAGTCTTAACCCCTCGGGCCTGCCTCCCTCGCAGCTGGAGCTAAAGGTTGGTGCACCGATTATGCTCCTCAGAAATATTGATCCGGCAAGAAGTCTTTGTAACGGAACAAGATTGATCGTGGTGCATATTGGTTAGTATATGCTTAGGGTTCGCCTGGCTAACAAACCTGACGCCCCAATAGAGCTTATCCCACGATTCACTCTTTCAATATTGGAAAGCGATATGCCATTTATGCTCACCAAGAAACAATTTCCTGTAAAACTATGCTTCGCTATGACAATCAATAAGTCCCAAGGCCAATCGTTGAAGTATGTAGGAGTTGACTTGCGACGTCCGCCGTTTATGCATGGTCAGCTATATGTCGCTCTATCAAGGGTCACATCTCTATCTGGCGTATCAATCCTTTTACCAGAGAATATAAATACAACCAATAACGTTGTTTATTCAGAGCTTTTGCTCAATTAATATATGCATTATGCACAACTTATGCTCAACTATACTTATGCCACTTTCTTTTTTTGTAACTATATGACTATCATCCAATAAAATTACCGATTTTTACTTTCTCTGTGAATGTAATAGCCTTTCTACATCTCATTCAGCATTTGCCCTTATTCAACACAAAGGACGGAGCCCTTAAGCCTGCGGCAGTACGACGACGTGCAAAAACGAGCGTAGCGAGTTGGAAACGGCTAGTATTATAGATTGAAATAGGAATATTTAAACCGAAGCTCATAAGAGACAACCTTAACACCATTCGCAATCTGACTGGTTGAATAAAAGTATATTTGTGAGTAAAGCCTAAAGAAGAGGCAACACACATCCTTCAAGCTGTATTTATAATAGAGATCATCTTCTGTCATTGTATTCACTGAGTTGTTTGATTCCACGCTAAAGCCGATACCAAATATTACGACAGCATAAGTTTATTGGACCTGAGAAAAGGACGTGATTTTATTGATTAAATGAATTTTGATAAATGAACAACAATAATCTCTTTCACTTTTTGCTCTTCTTTTTGCTTCAAATGAAAAGGCATTCTACATCATCCAGCTCAGAGAGACCTTCAAAAGGCGCAAAGCTAAATGGATGTAAAGTATTCAATCTTGTTTATTATCGGTCAATATTTAACATTATTCTGGTATAGGTACAGTAGCACCAACTCAAGAAGCGAATTATTCCAGCACAGTAAATCAAGAAGGCGCCCCTTCTTCCTCAAGTAAACCAGGGCTTTCGAAAAAAGCACAACAAAAGATTGACAAGCAAAATGCACTTTTAAAATTCAAAACAGAGCAAAAGGCTCTAAAAGAAGTCAAGTGCCCCTCATGTGAGTTAACAACACACGCGCGATCAACGAGTAACCTGTGTCCAAACAAGAAAGCAAAAGTACCTGTTTGCAGCCCTGATGAAAGGGTTGAAAACTTTGTAATCAAGACATCCTTACCTAATGTTTGTAACAATCAACAACTTGTTCAGTATATCAAGGATCTAACAGATTATACCACCAAAGTTTTGTTTGTGGGATCCCTTTTTGCCAATTTCATCTTCGTCAAACTGCTCGATGACAGCCAGACTATTCCAATTATTGAACAAAGTTTATTCACAAATATATTTGCGGTAATGACTGAAAATGGAAAGAGAGCACTAAACTATCTCAAAGAATACTTCACTCTTTTCTGTGAATTAACAACTGTAGACCGCGACTCTTTAAAAAGTATAAACTATTCAAGTATTCCCTCCATCGCTGGTAAGCAATATGAAATCCTGGTTAGAAATCACATTCACAAGATACACGAACGAAGATCGATAACGTACTTTCTGAATATGATGTCTGATTAAGTAATTGTTGTAAAGAGCTCCCAGTGGCTTCCAGAAAAGCCTTGGCATATTTCATTTACAAACAAAAACAAGGTTCAGAGCCATCTTGGCCATCATCTGTCCCATGCAGTAACTACTATAAAGAAATCACTGAAAGCATAGCAAGCATGTGGTCTAAATACCAACCAGATCAATGTGATTCCGATACGCTTTACTCAAAGCCGCACCTGTTCCTCAAGTGGTTCTATTTTCTGTCGCAAGAAGTGAAAAAAAAAAAGGCTTTTATCATGGAAAACGTACCTTCAAGAGTAGCCTCCAAAGCTTATGTGTATCGTAAGCTCAGAGAGCTTCCATTCACTGATGTTTTGAACAAAAAAAAAGCTTAATTCTTTAAGAGAAGAAACATTACAATCAATCAACTCCAACAAGACGTTTGCTCCAGAAAAAAAACTAGCCAAGCTTACTCTTCAACAAGTATCAGTTGTTCAAATTTTATTGATACAGTTAAAACAAGAATACAAGATGGCACGTTCACTCCTGCTAAATACACTGACAAAAGAAGATGCCGCTTTTTTATTGCGCTCATATATTCTGTTCAAACAAAATCAATCCAAATTGATGCTCAAGCTTTTTGGAGACTGGTGAAACAATGTGGCATACCAAATTACCCGAAAGGGAAGAAAACCGAATCTGACTTGACTGATTTTTACTACCATTTGTTCAATTTTACAAAATTGGGATTTCGTACTAGAGACAGTCTTACGAGTGGGAAGAAGTTTAGGTAAGCTATGTGTAAAATAATAATATAATACAGGAATATCTAACTGTCATTAATAGAAACGTTATAACGACGGATGGTCATTCAATATCTTTTCTTTTTACCCGAACTGTCAAGAGATCTTTGGCAACAACTAAAAATCCCTCAGATTTTATTGATGACATCCGAAATGGCTGTGATATTTGGGGAGTAGGCCCTGGTGTTTCTACAACCTTAACCGCCGTAGATACATCTGGAAGGCAAAGGACAACAAGCTTGGATGAATATTATCATCTGTGTGGTTATAATAATGCAAATTTTATACGAAAGAAGCATCAAGAACAACACACGGCTCAGTTTTTGAAAATTTCTAATTTAAGCTCACTGAAGACATCAAATATCACAGAGTTTACAAAAGCCTGCCAAGAAAGACTCAGTTTGTATGATGATATTACAAGTTACTATAATGAAAATGCCTGGTAAGTGCAAAGTATGGGGTTTTTTTTTACTTGTTTATTTAAGCAAGCAAAATTCTATAGGTCATCAAAATTGAAGTTTCAATGCTATATTCGTAAACAAAAAGGGGTGCATGAAATCTGCAAACGGTTAATGCACGGAAGTGTAAAGTATAACAAGAAGGCGTCTACTAGGGCCAAGACATCGCCTGCTGAAAATGAAAGCAAATATTGCCCTCCTGCTCCTCTTGATCATCCTGACAAGCCCAGAAAAACAATAATTGCTTTTAGCGATGGTATGTTTAACAACAGCCTGAGAGGAAACAGAGGGGCACCTGTCCGCCTTTAAAAAAGGCTTTGCAAAAATATTGCGGAAACCAATAAAAAAATATGTATGGTAGATGAATATTTGACAAGCCAAATATGCAACAGGTGTAAAAATAGAAATATGGACAATGTTGTAACTGAGAAGTCAAAACGAAGAGTACATACGATATTGAAGTGTAAACAAAACACTTGCAACATCGTATGGAATCGTGATATCATGGCTGCACACAATATCCTGGACATATTTCTATTCGCTGCAAGAAACAACAATCAGCGTCTTAATGTTTTCATATGTCAAGGTACATCTAATGACCAACCTTCCGTATGACTGATATGACTCTTTCATACGTCCTTACAGTGTAAGTTGTATTAACTATGTCTGAGTTTAAAAGTGCGAAAACCGTAACTAAACATTTTCGTTAACGTTGAAACGTAGCATCTTTGACTAGTAGAACATAGTCATTAAAATTCTTTTGAATGCCCTCCCTTGAAGAAAGAGCGTTCTTTATTATCGAATATAGTCACGAAAACCCAAACTTGTATGCTATATTCTAGTCTTTTTTTTAGTCTTGTACTCTATTCTTAAAGAATGAGTGATACCATAAAGAGTGTTAACGGAGCATACGATGATAGAAGAACAAGTTGATTTATGATACACATTGAATATCACACAGAATGAAAATAAAAGCACAATCAAACAAGCATATGAAAAGGAGAGAAAAAGAGAGACGGAACGCGCGTTTTAATGATCAATATAATAAAAGCAATCATTATTTGTATAAACCCATCTTTTTTATTATTCTTGCTTTCAGGCAATAAAAACGAATGTAATATTCAGCTTAGTTTACACCTGCAGTATTATATACATATACATTAAGAGGCTCATCATGTACACACTATGCCTTTGTACTGATTGAGAGAAAGTCGTGGGGGAAAAAAGCAGTCATTTTGATTGTGGGAAAGATGAAGTCAAACGAGGCGGATTGAGAGTCTAATTCTTTTTTATGCTAAACATCTTGAAAGGCAAAGAACAAAGGATAGGCCCAGGCTTATATCCTATCCGAGGATTATTTCATTTATTCCATCACCCAAAGAAATACGCAGGGCCCATTTTACTTTCTATATTGAAAGTAGTTGCTTCGAGTGCAATCACTGTCATTCCTCTCATTCGGTATGGTTATGGCTTTCAACAGAGTATCATACGTAAGGTTTATCAGACCTTACTAGAACCTCAAGCCCACAGAATTACCATATCCTTTTTGGTTCCTGCAACAGCAGGTATCCTGTGCTGTGCTGAGGCAGCAGCTATCACGATTCAACTGGGCACGTATTTTGTTGGATCCATCCGTACGCGCTTATTTGATGCTATCCTGCAAGAACGAAACGCGCTTCCTGTCAAAGAAGACGATACGACGCAGGTTGCTGAAATTGTAGGTGGCCCTGCGCAGAATAGAGATGACCTCCGAGACCATGCGTATCTTTCACCACAAAGTATTGCCATTATTACGGCTCAACAGGATGATGACTCATGGGGTGCTTTTCTTTTGAGGCCAGCTATTTTCATCATGACATTACCGTTAAATATTATACCAGTGATTGGACCTGCTGGGTTCATTTGTATTCAAGCTCTTTTCAGAGCAGGAGAAGCACACAGAAGATACTTTAATCTCTATCATTGGACCCATGCACAGGTTCATCGAAGGATTGAGCAAAAGTTTGTAGAATATTTTCAATTTGGTCTCGTGGCTACTGTGTTGGAAATGATTCCGTTTGTTGGTTATCTCTTTATTTACACAAATCAAATAGGGTAAGTATTACTCTGTTTGTGTTGATATGATATTAAATGTATTATTATAGTGGTGCTATGTGGGCAATGGATCTGCATGATTGTAAATTACTGGAACCCAAAAACAAATAAAGAGTCAATATTTGAACCAGATGACATGAATAATCCTTGACATTTAATCTTTTTATTGGACTCATTTAATCTATTTTGTTGCCATAGTAACTTTGATACTGTTTTATTTCACCTTGAACACAATTCTAGATTGAAAGTCTGAGTAAAACAGATATTTTTCAATCTCCAAAAATTTTTTTGTCTAGTTATTTTAGGATTAAAAAAGGCTGTAAAAGAGTGTATTTTACAGAAAATAGAAAGCCGTGTGGAAAAAGCAATTTTTTGTCTTTCTTTCCTTTTCTTTATTTTTTTTTTTTGTATGGACACCAAAGAGTTTAAGCTTTATAGCTCTACTTTTTCATATTGCGGCATTCAGTTTCTAGACAATCTTGTAAGAGAACTAGCAGAACTAACTAACAGTCATACGTGTATACTATTACAACTATTATCAACCGAAGAATATAAACAGCTATTGACGATTTATCCTCAAACAGAAGGCAAATGTAATGTCATATCTCGATCGAGTTCTCCTGAAGGTGAAGAAAAAATAAACGAGTGGAGTGATCATTATTTGATGATACGATCGATATATTCAACCAAGATGAACCATACCAAAAACATGTAAATAGATGCACCCTATCATATGTATATATTCCTCATATGTTCAATAGGAAACCCAATAGTATTATTCCAATCTCTTTACTCAATACCAACTCACCCTTCATAAAGACATTATCATCAAGTGACATTTCAAATCCGTGTATCATTCAAGATCCACATCTAGTCGAAGAAGATATTTATCCTCTATTTAAGCAGTTTATTGGCATTCAACTCACAAAAGAAAAGAAAGAAAGAAACGGCATTCTCTGCGTGATGAGTGATGATCAAGTTGAGGATAGGGATCTATTATTTAAAGTCAGTAAACGATGTATAAACGAGTTGAATCAAACAAGTAGAGAAGAACAGCTGACGATTGCAAGAGATTTAGCCATTTTGGATGCAGAAAATAAGCTGAAATTTTTAGCAGACATGAGTCATGAAATAAGGTTCTACTTTTTACCTATTCTTCTCCTTCTTTACAACTCATGCCATTTATTAGAACACCTATGAATGCAGTCATTGCCTTGACCGATTTATTATTACAAGAAAGAATCAATCTGAATAGTGAACAAGTAGAACATTTAGAACTTATTCAAACAAGTGGAAATCATATCTTGACTGTAATAAGAACATTCAAATGCACAAAACACTTGCTCATATCTTTTTTTTTAGATTGTCAACGATATCTTGGATATCTCTAAATTAAATCACGATCCCAAGTTTAAATTAGAGACAAGAAGGTTCAGTTTAAGAAAGTGTTTGAAAGGTATACGTATACACATTTAATGTATGCATCTATTCAATATGACTCATATATATGCAGATTCACTCAGTATGGCTAGACACCAAGCAGCCATGAATCAACATAACAAAGCTGTTTACGTATTAGAATGTCCACCTGATAAAGATGACAATATTCCATTACCACAATTTATTCAACAATTAGAAGCCAGCGGAATACTCTTGAAGCCATTCATGCATAAAAAGGGCAAGACGGTATTACCAATCATTTGGAGAATAGATTCAGACGTGCCAGATCATTTATTAGGAGATACAATGAGATTAACACAAATTATATTAAATTTATTATCAAATGCAGTCAAGGTACCTTTATTCCCCCCATTTGACTTTAGGAGCTAACATACTAGGAGTTAGTTTACAAAACAAGGTGGTATTTACATTCGTATCAAACGTTCTATGCCAACACCTCGTACACCTCAACAACAACAACAAGTGGGATCAGACAAACGTATGACATTCAAAGAGCGATACGATGCAAAGATCGAGACTATCTGGACAAGAGCTATGCAGGAAAGAAAGGATAGTTTTAGTAACAAGGGAACATCACCCACTACAGATGACGATATGGACTATTTCAGTGAAAAGGCAGTACTAGAGATATCAGTGACCGACACGGGTATTGGCATACCAGCAGACAGACTACCAAAATTATTCAAATCATTTTCACAAATCGATATATCCACAGCGAGAAGATACGGAGGCACGGGATTAGGTCTGGCTATATCAAGCACACTCGTCAATCGAATGGGCGGATGCGTCTGGGTTGAATCAGAGGAAGGTGTTGGATCTAGATTCGCATTGACTTTACCCATGACAGTAGCACCAAGAGGAAGACATTATAGTAGCGATAGTAATACAACTCCTACAAACTGTTATATGAATTCACCCTCGTCACCCTCTTCAACCATCTCGGACAGTAGCAGCCATTCCAACCCGCTTGACATTGTGTCACCTTTACCCACACTGTCCAACTCAACTTATTTCAGTAGTACTAGCAATAATAATCACAGTAATAACAGTAGTAACAACAATACTAATAACAACAACAATACCAACTTTATACCAGCACCGCATCCACACCAAAGACCGCTCTTGACCAGGGCAGCACCCCATCAGCTGGATGAAGTGAGCGATTCCCCTATGGCAGAGGACACCCAAGTGCTAGATGGTAGAAAGAATAACAACACCAATACAGGCTCTATCAGTATTATGAGTGCAGCTGGAAACAACAACAACAATAATAATAATAGTACGTCATCAAGAGCAAATATAAAACCCTATGCACGCAAACCACAAGGAAAAGAGGAAAACTTGGCCAAGGTGCATCCATTAAGGATACTATTAGCAGAGGACAACATACTGAATCAAAAGATAGCTATAAGCATATTAAAAAGACTAGGATATGTTGACGTAGTGATCGCCAACAATGGAAAAGAAGTACTCAGTTTGATGAAGAGTAATGTGTTTGATGTGATCTTTATGGATCTTTATATGCCAGAGATGGATGGCTTAGAAGTAACAAGAGAGATTATAAAGGAAAGAAGTAAAGAAAACAGTGAACTACTCAATTGTGTGGATGTTTACATCATTGCTCTCACCGCATCAGCATCAAGAGAAGATAGACAAATCTGTATTGATGCAGGCATGAACGATTTCATAAGTAAACCGTTTACGATGGTAGAAATGAAATCAGCGCTAAAAACATGTGCAAATAATCGCAAAAAGCGCCGAAAATTGGTGGTTGAGAAGGACGATCCAATGATTGTGTGAATGTACATATTATTATTATTTATCTTTATTTGTTTCTAGTATTATTATTATTATTGTTGTTGTTATTAGTCAATAACAAATGTTGTTGTAAAAGCAGTTCATCACTTGAAATAGTCTTGTCTAGTCTTAACTTGATATCTGCCATCTTCAAGATGTATTCTTCAATCGAATTTTTACAGATGAGTTTAATCACTGTCACGTCTTTGGTCTGGCCCACTCTATGAGCCCTATCTTCTGCTTGCTTGTCGTTTTGAGGATTAAAGTCCAAGTCATAAAGGATAACGATATTTGCAGATGTCAAATTGATACCAAACCCACCTGCTTTTGTACTTAGTAAGAATACGGGAATAGATTCATCTTGATTGAATTCGTCAATGACTTCTTGTCTTTCCATCACCTTTGTCTCTCCATCCAATCGTCTATATTTTATATCCAAGGTCTGCATGACGAGCTCCAGAATATTCAACATCCTTGTGAACTGACTAAAGATCAATATTTTTTCTTTGTTTTTTATCTTGTCTTGCAGTATTTCTTTCAACTTGGTGATCTTGCCCGAGTTCATCCATTCTTCATTACTCAACTGATATTTTTTAATCGTCCTGTTTTCTTTACAAAGTTCATTCAATTCATAATCTGACATCACCGTCATGTCTTCATATACGTATTCTTCATTAGAATCCCAGTATTTGACATCCTTCATGATATCTTTGGTCATCTTTCTCAACACATCATCTGTGTACAGGTATCTAAACAAGAGCGGATGATCGGCTGCTTTCCTTAAATGAATAATGATATTCTCCATCCTTTCTTGAGTTCTATTTTCTAGTATTGAATTATATACATCTTGTTGCTGCTTTGTCATTTCGCACTCTTCTATAATCTCTATCTTTTGTGGTAAATCCTTCAACACATCCTTTTTCTTTCTACGCAATAAAAAGGGCGTCATCATTTGCTTTGCTCGTATGATTCTCTTCTTTTGCAATAATGATTCGTTGGTCTTGATCTTGAATATCGATCGTATTTCTTCTTCGTAGTTTTTAAAGGTATTAGGCATGATGAAGGTTAAGAGAGACACCAACTCTTGCAGGTTATTTTGAAGCGGTGTACCAGTCAACAGTAGTTTGAATTGGCTTTTAATCTTCATGAGGTATTTGTATCTTGCACTTGTACAGTTCTTGATCATATGGCCTTCGTCCAATATTACGCTTTTGAACTTAATATTTCTCAAAAAGGACCTATCTTCTACACTACCCGTGGCTGTATTGTAAGTCGTGAGAATCACTTCATATTCATCCTCCTCTAGTTCATATCGCTGATCCATTCTTTCTGGTTGTGTACCGTGATACATCCTCACATTTAGGCTCGGGCAGAACTTTTTGAACTCTCGTGACCAATTCTCAATGGTGGATGCTGGGACGATAATCAAATGTGGACCTTGATCGCCCAGTTCATACAGCCTACCCAGGAAACTGATCACTTGAGCCGTCTTGCCCAATCCCATTTCGTCGGCTAGGATACCAGAAATATTCTTGCGATAGAGTAGCAGCATCCAGTTGATACCAAGCAACTGATAATCTTTTAATTGGATCTCCTTGCTGATAATTTCGGGTTGCTCTGTCAAGAATCCGTTGAGCGCGTCCTTGTACAACGGACTAGTTTTATCGACCTTGGCTAGATTGATATCAACCAGATGAAGCCCTGCCTTCTCGTCTTCTTCTCCTTCATTGTCATTTTCTTCTTCTTCTTCGCTATTATTTTCGGAAGACATCTCTTTCCAAATGTTCAAAATGCTTTGTAGCTGACTTCCTGTCTGTTCGATTTCTTTAATGATTTCGTCTACTGCATCATATCCTTCGTTGATCTCAAGGTAGGTGTTTATGTACTTTACACTCATGCCTCGTTCTTTCTTTAGCTTGTTTGAAAGATCATCCACATTTTCAAAAGGACGAAGCTCTTGTATGAGCTTATCTGCAGTATGTGGTTTACAGCCAGTCAACTCTTGTATATCCTGTGAAGTGGCTGTATTAAAGAATTTGAGCATTTCTGCTTCTCTGTTGGACTTTTTGAGGATGTCACGACCCCTCATGTCAAGTTCCATTGCATCTTCTGTTCTGCGTTTCTTGGACCCGTCATAGGATGCGAGGTCAAGCACAGTCTTGACCATATTATATCCATTTTCTCGATAGACTGCTTCGATCTCTTCTATTGGTATTTTTGGATAGAGACTTGACATTTTTTGAACATTGGTCTCCCGATTGGTTCCTTCTAAACGTTTGTTTTGTTGTTCATTTTCGTCTATAAAATCTTCATCGTCATCATCGGATATTTGAATCATTCTACTTGGTTTCTTTCTTATTATCTCTTCTTCTTCTTCTCCCTCTTCCTCCTCCTCCTCCTCTTCTTCTTCCTCTTCATCTGAAGAAAAGGTCACAATTCGCCTTGTAGGTCCCTTTTTTCTTTTTCGTAAGACTCTTACGTTTTCTTCTTCTTCTTCTTCTTCATCTGAAAGAGCTCTTTTCCTTGCTTCATTCTCGTTTTTAAATATTGTGCTTGACAACGAAAAGGGTCCACTGGAAGGACTAGCAAAAGTTCTGTTGCCGCTCTTGAGGAAACTCTTGACAGGTACCTTTTGTGCTGTGTTATTACTATTGCCATTATCTTTAATAGAGGGAAAGAATGATGATATTGTCCTCTTGGGTACAGCAGATCCTTGTGACATATCCAAAGAGATAAAGAGAGAAGAGAGATATACTTCGAAAAATTTAAGAAAGGATGCTTATGAGTGTGACGCATGAAAAATAGCTGTCACAGTCATTCCCCCCTTAGCAGGACAAATCAACTAAACAATTTTTTCATTAAACTAATTAGACAAGACAGAAAGAGGACGCGAGTAGCCAAGGTTACTTAATGTAATTATGACAATACTTTAAGAATGTAAAATAATATTCTGCCTGTTCTGTTCAGTGTTTTGAGATTCCATATTTATAAAAATAAGCTTAGACGTATTTATTGAAAGAATATAAAATAAATATTAATACGTTGTCGACCCTCTTTTTACGACAGCTACCGCCTCACATCGAGCCTTCGTGCTTCCGACCAAACATGCTGCTAACCCAGAGCTTATTTTCTCCTACCCTTCTCTCAACACGACACTCAGCTCTTCAATATTTCTTATCTCTTTTTTCTTTCCCTGTTAAGATTACCGAAAGCAGCCCAAACATGCTCTATCGGGTTCAAATCATGATCTTGTGCAGGTCAGTACTCAAAGTCCCTGATCTGGTGGGTTTCCTTCTACCATCGCGCATAACCACCAGTTATGGCAGCTAGCTCCATCCTATTGGAATATGAAGTCCCTGTCCTCTTGCTGGCAGAGTTGTGCAAACCAGGAGTGGTAGTTTTGGGCTAAAGTATTTATATATTTGTCTTGATCAACTGTGCCGTCAACCAAGATCAAAGGGCCAAAACCATTGGCATGAAAGCAGCTCCAAATGACGCTAGACTACTGTTCACCCGTCCAGTTAACATGTTCTTGGGCCCAGTGAAGCCTTTTCTTCATGTGCTCTTCTCTCAATGCTGGTTTTTGAGCAGCAAAGTAAGAGCCATACCCCATTTTCTTCAAACTGCTGATAACAGTCTGTCTACAGACTTCTACATCTACGTTATGCAGTTCTAATCTCAGACAGTCGTATGTTACGAATGGATCATCTCCTATCCTCCTCGTAAGCAACCTCTATAATTCCTCATTGGTTTTACGAGACCTACCTTTTTGCTTGGTTGGCAGAAACGATCCAGTCTTCTTTATTCTATCAACAGTGCTTTGTACTGTTGATTTTGGCATTTCGACTAAGTTTGCAATGTCGTCACACGAATGCTCTGATTTTCTAAGGTAATAAATACCCCAGTATTTTCTTTCTTCGCGAGGTTGATAAGGACCACGCTCTTTAGTTTGTACGTTTTCAGCAGACATGGATACTTTATAAAATATTGAAAAAAACTTTAGAGTACGAAAGCTTATTAAATGTGGCTGTTGATTAGTCAAAGGTATTAAAGTGTTCAACACTTGTTCCGTGAATATCTCAGCCAACGCATTTTTTACTCTAGAGCCCTAAGAAGTTTTGGATTCTTATTCTCATATTTGAACTGACTTGGGTAGAAAAGAGATGATGTAGTAAAAGCATCATATGGTCTTTGTATTTTATAAATAAAGACAATACCTTTTAAAATTACAACTACAAAAGGCGCAAACACGTCTATACTGTTAGTATAAGGAGGAGATATCATGCATCAAAAGAAGGGAAACAGAGTCGAAATTTCATATTTCAACAACACATTTACTCCAATCGATGTCAAAGAGTTAAGTTTACGACCCTATATGTACTGACTCGAATCTAAGGGGATTATTCATGCTGTACCTCAAAAATATTAAAAACGTGCAACTTGCTAATTTTTTGTATTTCCTTTTATGACCTACACTACAAGTGAAGAAGGGAAGCCGAAAAACAAAGGTAACGTAAGAACATATACAATTGAATCTGCACATAACAGACAAGATGACCAATAGATCCCTCAATTGTTCTTGATGCCTTTTTAGATGAGGAAGGGGATACAACAATAGTTAACAAGTAATGCATCTGAAACATATACAATAGCTCTTAACTAAAAAGGACCCTTAAGAAAACAAAAAAGAAGCTTCTTTGAAAGACTCGGACTGAAAAAGAAACAGATTGCACCAAGCACTATAACTAAAGACCATCTTGATTATACAGACGAAGAAGAATCTGAAGAAGACGAGAACAGTATGGAATCTACCGAAGAAGATAACATAGTACCTCAGACAAGTATCTCAACACCAACAGCAAAGCCTCATCAATATATTAAGGTAAGTATGCTTCTTGTTTTATTTCTAGTTTTGCTGATTTAAAAAAAGACAAAGACAAAATACAAGAAACAAAACCAAGAGTTTTCGCGCCTTATGCTTGCACAAGTCATATCCACCAGCGACCCTCCTCCAGATGATCTTGGAGACAATAGCCCCTATGGTGCTATCTGGACACTTCGATTTAACAAGGACGGTCAATACTTAGCTTCTGCTGGTCAGAGCTGTACTGTACTCGTCTGGAAATTACAAACAACTGAAAATTCAATTCAAGCACTGGATGATACTCCCTATAGAGAATACCAAGGACACACAGCAGATATATTGGATATTGCATGGTCAAAGGTACATCAAGAATTAGAATACCAGTCATGGTACTAATATACATACACTAGAATGATTTCTTGCTGTCAAGCTCCATGGACAACACAGTAAGGTACATATGTGTCCTTATTTTTCAAATGTGTATAAATACTAACTCTCTAATAGATTATGGCACGTCTCACAAAATGACTGTCTCTGTGTATTCCAACACCTAAACTTTGTCACTTCCGTCAAGTTCCATCCCAAAGACGACCGCTTCTTTCTGTCTAGTTCGATGGATGGTCGTATCAGGATCTGGAGTATACCTGAAAAGCGTGTAGCATTCTGGAATGAAGCACCAGGATTCAAGCACGTTACGGCCGTCGGCTTTACCCTCGACGGTAAGACGGTAATCGCTGGTTCTGATGATGGATATTGTTACTTTTTTGAAACCCAAGGCTTGAAATATAACACACAGATATCTATCCATGCTAAAAAAAACAAGAAAAAGGGACCCAAAGTGACCGGGATTGAAGTCATGCCAGGCATGCCTCCAACTGAAGAAAAGATCTTAATTTCCACAAATGATTCTCGAGTGAGACTGTTCAACATGAAGGACAAGAGTCTCATCTTTAAGTACAAAGGTATTCTAAACACCAATCTTCAGATTAAAGCTACTTTTAGGTAATAAAAAATAAAAAAAAAGAGCAAAGAAAAAAGATGTCTAAATAACTCTTAGTGACGACGGCTACTACATCATTTCTGGATCTGAAGACTGTCATACCTATATCTGGCGAACTGAACAAACCAATCTCTCATCTCATCTTGTTGAAGAATCAGCGCTAGGCGATCTAACACTTCATATGCCAACGCAATCACACAACTCAGGCCTGTCGAAATGGCTAAAGAGAAGAGACGATGAATCGAAAAATAACCATAAAAGCAACAGCAAGAATCAAACTGAATACTTTGAAGCTCATGATTACACTGTGACTGCAGCCGTCTTTGCGCCTGCAAAAGCACGCCAAGGGTTCAAAAAAACAAACACACGACGACTCTCTGCTGCGAGTGATATGACACAAGAACAAGAAGGACACATCATCGTCACGGCTGATCAACGTGGTTGGATCAAGGTATGGCGGATTGTTTCTCATGACGATAAACCTTCCAATACTCGTAAATTGCTCAACAGTACATCTACGATGAACAGTAGTAGTAGTAGTAGTCATGGCAGTAGTAGTAGACAAAAATAAAAATGATTTTTATTTTCTATACTTTTTCTTTACATTGACTTTAAATACACATTGCGTACCATGACTTTATAAACAAACGCGAAAGAAACAGAATTACATATACATTATTCACACAACATGGCAATCAATGCACCACCCACGCTACCCCCTTCAGATGCAACTTCTAGTGTGATCTTACTACTGACTTCTGGTCCATACCACTCATCCAAAGCCCGTCTGACACGCTTATCCATGTGGGGATAAAATTCATAGGTTGAACCATTGATTCCGATAATAACATTTTCTTGATCCATCAGTTCTTGTTGCTCCAATAAAGAAATGATGGCCACAGCGGCTAATGAAGCAGATCGGGAAGCGACAATACGACAAATGCGAGTCAAGGTAGTTATGTCTTCCATTGTTGGCTTACCATGTTTGCTTGGAAACTGGCTTAGCATGTCGAAGCTAGCCTCTTTGGCCTCTGTTTCATCATTTTCCAATATGCTCATGTACTTTGTGGGGAATGACCATGGTCGATCAAATCCTTCGGGCACTTCGCCACCAAATAAAGCACCTGCTTGAATAAAGTCCATGGCGATCAAACGAGTCAGCTCACCCATATAAGCGCCAGAGAGCATTTTTTCATAAAGTTGGAATTTAGGTTGATTGTGAGAGCGATCAAGTGTGAGATCGTACTTGGTCAAGGGTAAATAAGCTTCTGTACCAAAGATGTCAATCTCTGTGTTGATCAACATTTCTGTACCGGGTGGATATCTCCTTCGGATATCTGGGTTTAATTTGGTAATAGCAGGTACTTTTTCAGGGTATGCTGCGTTAATACCAGTTGCGAAAATAAGACCAATACGACATGCAGGATTTTTATACGCATGTGCAACCAGCGTACCAACTGTATCATTTAGTATAGCAGTCACCTTTACGTTGAGATTCTTTGATAAAGATAAGCAACCCATTTTTGTTTTACTTTAAGAATGTGTTACCTTTCTCTGAAAAGCCTCATGAAACATGGCAGCAAGATCGTTGCCTTCTGTATTTTTCAATGTGAATCCCTTTCCCATTCTGAGAATAGTACCATGATCGACAGCTGTCTGACTGTAAAATAGGTGAATGACATTCATCTTTCTATACCTCTTTACACACACTTACTCTACAGGAAAGCTCCAACAGACACCCAAGGATAACGTTTCTTTGCCTTCTACTTGAGCTGTAGAAAACAAATGTCTAGCTTCTACAGTGATGAGCTCTTGAATGGCATCTGCAATCCAGTCAAAAAAGACTGAGCCTTCGCCTGTCTTGAGTTCAGTAGAGGGACAACGCTTGAGTTCATGAACTGCTGTCTTGCCAGCACCTCTGAGTTCAACTGCAGCTATACGTAAATTAGTGCCACCCAAGTCAAGAGAAAGAAAAGTTCCAGTTTCATTGCCCATTGGCATCTTGGTTACAAATGAGGGAATCATGGTGGCCAGACCTTTTGAGGGTGTTTTAAGGCCAGTCTTGTATTCTTGAATAAACCCTTCGATGATAGGCTTAAGTTGCTCTTTGGATAGTAAAAATTCTTTTTCTACTAGACTGAAGATATCTTGTGTCATTTAAGGGAATGAGTTAAAAAGGAGGGAAAAAAGATATTTAATCTACATTTTCCTTTATAAACTCACATCGGCGAAATATCACCCTTGATGAGACCCTGTGAAAAATTGTTGTCTGGGACCCTGATTTCATTGGTTTGTTTAGACTATTATGTAATAGCTATATATGGAGTGACCCATTTTCCTTTTTTGGAATTACACCCTCGTTAATATAGAAAAGAATAACCGGGTCCTTTTTTTTTTCATTGTCCTTTCTTTTGTTGGCCTTGTTTTGTTTTGTTTTTTTTTTAGCTTTAAATTGTAACCTAACAACCTTGCTTTTGTGCGTTGTAGGGCTACTTAATTACCATGGTAACCTTGATGACAATAATATTTATGGTGTGACCAAATGAGGAGAATTGAAAACAACAAAGGACGAGGTTTTAAATGAAGGAGTGGGTAATAAAAAAAGCTCAGCACCCTGATTCCCTCCCCCCCCCCCACTACAGCTTTTTTTAAACATACACGATGATTATTTTTAGACATATTCCCAATTTGCTTTTTGGACAAGCGTAACTTTATGTTGAACTCCATATTATACAATAAGGTTTTTCTAATCATTCTTGTAAGACCTTGAATGATGTAAAAGTAGCTACAAACCTATTCCACACTTTTCTTAACAATGATAAGTCTTATCACCTTTCATTTACAAAGCACCTGGTGACAGTTTACAAGTGCTATAAAAAGAGGAAAAAGACAATGCGTGTGTTCATTAGGCTTCCTATCAGTTATTATATCACAACCATCTTATCGAGATAGTAGGAACACAAAAAGGAGGCTTTGAGCAGTGAATACATGTGTATCTAAAGAAAAAAACGACAAGAAACATCTTTTGTCTCTTTTACTAACATTTTACATGTCATTAGCTTGAGGGCTTTTACGGTTAAACAGTTTTTTATTTACAATTAAAGTCTCAATTGGGCGCACGATAACAATAATATATCTTCTTCGCCCGAGGCAGGTCAAAAGAGAATAAAAAATTGGCAACTAAAAAAACCCTTATGGGATTAAGGGTAAAAAAGTTATGGAAGAAATGATGTTGGACCAAGTGTAAAACATACTAGTGAGGGGAAGGAAGAAGCCAATCGAGGAGCTTTTGCCCCAGGTGAGGGGGCGGAGAAGGCAGACACTTTTGGTGATGGAGGTAGTCAAGTTCAAAAAGAAGAGTGCAGATATCTGGCCAACGGATGGTCCATGAGAAAGCGGTTTGAAAGGAGCGTGGCTTCTTCATAGGTAGCATGTTCAAAAGGAAGGTTAATGGATCAGAAATTGTTTCGGGTATCATAAGTCGGCAGTGCATTTGGAGACAACGAATGGCGTGGGCCTTGGTGAAGGCTTGGTTGGGGTGCTGAAGACAGGTTTTGTCGTGATCACTGGGAAGCCAACCAAGGCGCCAACGTATACAGCGACTTCTCTCAGACCTGGTCATTGGTAGCCAGAGGATGAGGTCTAGGCAGATAGTCGGGCGACAGTGCATAAGAAGAACAGAGGCATGCGTAGAGCGCTTGTGATTGAGGTTATCTTGGCGGAGCTTCCTTTGCATCAATCGTAATGAGCGGTGATCAAGGGATTCTGGGTTTGATGAGCATATTTTCCAAATGGGAAACCTAGAGAGTTTATACCATTGGGAGTGGCTTCTAGGTTGGCAGATCAATGGGAGAAGATGAGAAAGTAGTGAATCATCCGGGAGGGTATAGGTGCGTAGAAGGAATTGGGACTGAAGGAAGTAAGCGCGTTCCTGCATGATTGGTAGGTTTGCCAGGTGCAGTATCACTGTTGTGGAGGAATTGCACGAGCCCCCAAAGACTCGACGTATGCAGGTGTTCTGAGCGTCATCTACTTGTTTGCTAAAGAAAGAAGTAACCTTGGTAATGGCTAGTCCGTATTCTAATTGGGCACGAACGATTTGGGAATAGAAACGAATGGCTAATAGAGGTGTAAAACCTTTGGGATGATGGCCAATGGCTGAGAGTTGGTTCATAGTTGTAAGGGCTTTAGTTTTGCTGTTGGAAATTAATTCAATGGCGTCGAGATAGCCACTCGAGCGAAAAGGAATCCCGAGATAGGGGAAGGAAGATTGCTTTGGGATTGGCTCACCATAGAGGGTATAACTTGAGGACGATTGTATTGGATCTAATATGACGCACTTACTTGGGTTCAATAGGTACCCAAGCTTGTAAATATGGTCCTCACAAGACTTGAGGAGGGTTGGTATGTCGGCCTTAGCAGCTATGAGAACAACGTCGTCAGCATAGAGGAGATAGTTCATGCGAAGGACAAGTTCGGTAGAGGAAATATCCGTGGTTAGTGGTTGCAGGCGCAGAAGGCGAAGTAACTCGTTAATGTATATAGAATACAAAAACGGAGAGAGAATTGGTCCCTGGAGGACACCAGCGACTGGCGAGAAACGAGTAGATGTTGCATTATTAATTAGGACCTCTATCTGTACATCATCAAATAGATTTTGAAGTAAGCTAATCAGCGCAGCAGATGCTGTTTGCTCTAGGTTTTCCATAAATGACGATCCACAGTATCATATGCCGATTTTATATCTAAGAAGGCCAGTACTGGGGTTATATGATGAAAGTAGTGGAGGATGTTGCATATTTCGGCTAGACAGAGAACTTGGTCTAAGGGCCCTCTGGATTCACGGAAGCTGCCTTGAGCTATGTCCAGGGGTGCTGAGGGCTTTTACACTTTATTCACAAATTATTCGCACACTGATAAAAAATGATAGTTTCAGACAAAAAGTAGTAAAAGATACAAATGATAAAAGAGAGCCCACAAAAAAAAAAAAAAAAAAAAAAAAAAAAAAAGATAATTTCAGACGATAAATGAGAGAACAAATAATAATAAAAGGAAGCACATAAGAAGCAAAAGAACGATATATAAAAGTAACGATTAGTAAGTCAGTTATTAAATTAATATTAAATACTTACATTATAAGAGAAAAAAAAAAAAAGAGATTATTAATATCTTATTCAAAGTGCATTAAATAGGGCTGGTGGTAGCCAGCCCGGAGAAAGAAGGGAAAAAAGAAGAGTAAGGAAGAGAGCGGTCAGCTAGTACCTGGTTATTTTCGATTGTATGATCTATAATGCTACATATTATTTTCTTACAAGAGTAAAGAATATAACATACCTTAGGGCAATCTGAGAAATAGCTAGTTTTACTTTTTGGTCCAAAGAAGAAAAGAAAAGAAAAAGAGGTCAAGATCGGACTATTTATATGAAGACTCTAGCATCTTTTTCAGTTACATGTTAATCACAAATGCTGACCACATTTATCTTTTTAATAATAAAGAAAGGATTGATAGTCAATTAAATTGTAATTGTTGTGTGCGAATAGTTTCTGAAAATGGTGTATATTAATCTCAACGCATGCTTAAATGATGCCTGACTAAAGCTATTAAATAGACAGTCGAGCAATCATTGACTATTCATCAATTAATATAGGGTCGACATTTATTTTTCAAACTTTCTTCTTTTTTTGTTTGATTTACAGTTTTGCGTACACATCATACTGTCCCTTAAAGTGATGCATCATGTCAAAGAGAAACACGGATGAAAATGTGTGAAAGTAGAAAGTGGCTGTGTGTTTTCTCTGTGTATAATAGACGTATCTGATGGCAGATATTGAAAAATGTGCGGAGAATTGTGATCTACCTGAACATAAAAGCAAAGGAAGAATAAGTATTCTCGTTTCACACATTATATACTTTTAAATCGAAATACAGCGAGAAAAGAAAGCGTCTTGAAGAAGTTAGTAATAGTAAAAGTAACTAAGCCTAAAGATATAAATGTGGTTAAACGGGGCTATAATAGTACAAGGTCTAAAGAATGCGAGAACTATAACTCTTGGTGATGCGTTAAGAAATAAACTTGGAGAGAAAGTTATGCGCGCTACACGCGTAAACTCCGTATTGAAACTGCCATCAAGCCAGAATACAAGGAACCAATTGTGGAGAAAATCACAAATTAGGCACATTTATTAGAAATGTCTTTTTTCGTGCAAAGCTTGTATATGTAATATAGCAGCCGCATGAAAAGCAAAGACCTCAGTATTACGAATGGAGAGAAGAGGCTAACGCTTTACACTTTACCATCAAGATTAAACAAACTTCTCTCCAATTAATTATGTAAGCAATGAATCATTAAATTCAGGACGCTTGTGTAATGCTCACTTTAATAAAGCCAGGTGTCTTTTCCTTCACTGTTACCGGCTTATTTCTAGTACAAGAGAAAATGAAGATTAAAATATTAGTAAATTTATATATATACTAAAACAGAGGGGGGATAAGAATAAAAAAAAATGAAAAATTATATGTAATAATATGATCTAAAGAGAAAAAATGTGTACATGAAAGATTAAAGAGCAGCAGCCTTCTTGGCAGCGGCAATAGCACGAGCTTCCTTATGAGGATCAACACGAGAGTAGACGATGATGGAAGCCATACCGATTAAAGCAGCAATAATACAGCCAGCCATAGCACCTTTACCCTTGGCAGTGAAACCATCATAGATGAGATAGATACCATCAGGAGCACCCTTAAGATCAAGTCCTTGTTTAGCAGCAGCGTTACCTTCATAAGGAAGGTTAGCAGCCTTACAGGTGTCAATGAAGGACTGAGGTAACTTCATACGTTGCTGAGCAACGTCAGGAGCCTCAATAAAGGTAGCGGCAAGACCAGATTCCAAGTGCCATTCGATGTGACAGTGGAAGAACCAGACACCAGGATTATCGGCTCTGAAACGGATGATGACAAAACTTTCGGCGGGCACACTGACAGTATCACGACGAGAGGGGTTGTCCAAGTGCCATTCGACTTGACTAGAGTTGCCCGTGTAGACGCCAGAACCACGGCCGACTAATTGGAAAACGTGACCGTGAAGATGGAATGGGTGATCACCAGCGTCAAGGTTGTTCAAGACAACTTCAACCATATCCAAATGCTTCAAGATGAAAGCTTGGGTTTGAGGACCATAAACGGTAGTATCAAGTGAGTAGTTTCCTTCAGAGAACAAAGTGTTCAAAGTAGGGACCTTGGGTTGTAAATAAGGAACTTCATTGAACATACCACGGTTAATACCATCCGTGGTGACTTGGAAGTCAATGGTCAAGTTGACTTGATGATCATAGGGAACGGCATGTTCGACAACAACAGGAGAAAGTACCATGTCATCAAATGTGCTGCCCATGCCCACATCCTCACTGGGAGCAAAGTTATTGTGACTAGCATTGTAATAGAGAGGAGCAGTAATGTTCACTTTGAGATCAGCAGGAAGAGTATCAAACATGTCGACGTTCATATCAGCATGCATCCAGTAGTTGGTGTCGGTCGTGTTTTTGGCAGTAACAAGGACAGAGACACGTTGAGCAGCAGTCAAATAAACACTTTGAACAGTCTTGCGTTGGGTTTCGACACCATCAATTTCAATAATGTCCAAGGAATGGCCATCAATGCTAAAGTAGAACATGGAAAAGCCAGACATATTGATAAGACGAAGACGGTAAGTCTTGCCAGGAGTAAATGTGATGCTGTCATTGACACTGTTTAACATGAATCCGGATTCTAAAAGTGAAGAAAAAAATAAGCCTACTTTTTTTTGATTCAGGGACACAATCACTTACGAGGTACAGGCTCAGCACCAGTAGGGTTGTAGACACTCATGAAGGAAGCAAGATTTGTATCGCTTTGCTCGTGATACCAATCTAACAAAGTATAAAAATGAGCTTTCTTATTACGAATCAAAAAAAAAAAAAAAAGAACTGACCTTGGATAGGGATAGTAATATCTTCATCATACTTGTAAGTTTCATTAATGTTGTGAATAATGAAAGGGGTGCGGAAGCCATCCGTGTATTGGCCCTAGTATATGCGTCGATCAGTAAAGAGGTCATGATAATAAGCATTTATGTTACCATATAGTGAGAGTGCATCCAGTAACTACCATGTTGTTGAACAGTGAACTCATAGGTCAAGTTGTGACCAGGAGCGATAGGACTACAGAATCCATTAGTTATGCTCTTGGCAGGTATAAGGCCAGGGCATTATATTTACCATTGAGTAACACCAATAGGACCATCCATCCAGACAGTGCCATTTTGAAAGATACCGTGTGTATGGAGAGAGGTGAAAGTGTCGAGTTGATTGTTGATGTTGACAACGATCGTATCATTGACCATAGCTTCAACAACAGGAAGACTATAGAAGACATTAAGAACATATACAATCATATTCAGTGTTGCTACTACTTACGGCCATTTACCGTTAACACCAACTACTTTACGCTCAAAGAGACCATCAGGGTTAGCAGTGGTATAAGTAATGTTCCAGTCATGAACAACACGAGCAGCTTGAGTTAAGCTAGTAGTAGCTGCTGCCAAGAGACAAGTAGCCAAAAGACGCATTTTCTTTCTCTTGAAAAGTAAAGTACAAAAGAAAAGAAAAAAGAAAGAGAAAAGAAATCAAAAGAATAGATCGAGATTATATAATAAAACTTTTTTTTAAAAAAAAAAAATGGTTCCCAGCTAAACTAATAAAAAATTTATCTGATTTTTTTTTTTCTTTTTCCACAAGACATCCGAGGTAGGAAGGTGACATGACCCATCTACATCTGATAAACTTTTTTTTTTATTGTAACAAAAGATTCGTACCACTTTGACTCGGAGAGACGCGGGTATATGTTGTACAAGTCGTTTTCATCTGATAAAATTTTTTTCAAGTTCCCCTTGTGTAAAACAGTAAGATTTTAATTTTTTTGTTAAAAAAGGATCAGTCTTTTTTTATATCTGATCCTTTTTTTTTCTCTCTCTTTTAGAATTACTTTTCAAGAGATATGTCTCAAGATCTTTTCAACGTACCGATCTTCTTTATTCTCTTTCGTGAAACGACTGAGGCAGCCATTATTATCTCTGTCCTCTTGTCCTTCTTGAAGAGAATGTTTAATACAGAGTCTCCTGTATACAAACGTCTCAGAAATCAAGTTTGGTTTGGTGGTGCAGCTGGTCTATTTATATGTATATGTATCGGTGCTGCCTTTATTGCCGTTTACTATACTGTCCTTAACGATTTGTGGGGCAATTCTGAAAACATTTGGGAAGGTGTTTTCTCTTTGGTCGCTGTCATCATGATTACCGCTATGGGTCTCGCCATGCTCAAAACTGAACGTATGCAAGAAAAATGGAAGGTCAAGTTGGCAAAGGCAATGCAAAAATCAAGCACTGAAAAGACTGGCTTTAAAGAAAAGCTTCAAAAATACGCCTTTTTTGTCTTACCCTTTGTCACTGTACTCAGAGAAGGTCTTGAAGCTGTTGTGTTCATCGGCGGTGTCTCCTTGGGTATTCAAGGTAAATCTATTCCTATCGCTGCTATCATGGGTATCATCTGTGGTGCCTTGGTCGGCTTCCTCATCTATCGCGGTGGTTCCTTGATCCAGCTTCGATGGTTCTTTGTTTTCTCTACTGTTATCCTTTACCTTGTCGCTGCCGGTTTGATGTCCAAGGCTGTTGGCTATTTTGAACAAAATGCCTGGAACCAAGTCATTGGTGGCGAAGTTGCTGAAGAAGGTGGTGATGTGATCCCATACAAGGTAACCACTGCTGTCTGGCACGTATCTTGGGGAAATCCTGAATTGAACGTTGACTCCAACGGCGGTTGGCAAATCTTTAACGCCATTCTTGGTTGGAACAACACTGCTACCATTGGTACTATCGTCAGCTACTGTCTCTACTGGCTCTTTGTCGCCGGCTACCTCGCTTTCAGTTTCTACAAAGAAAAGCGTGCAGCCATTCGCAAAGCCGAAGCTGGTGAATGGGATGATGGTGAAGAAGCCTTAGAACAAGCTAAGAAATACATTGCTGAGGATGGAGAATTCATTGTTAAAGATGCTGTGGATGTCGAATCTAAAGAACACCCTCATGAAACAGTTGATGCAGTCCCTGTCAAGGCTTAAATTATAACAAATATCTTATTTCTTAGAGCTTTAATATCAAATACATGTTTTTTTCTTTCTTATATTATGTAATGCTATCTTAATCATTATTTCTTATACATCATTTATCCTTTGTTATGTAATATATACACGCACATATTCAATAAACAGACATTAGTAAACCCGATTTTTTATTGCCTGATCAACGGATGCTGATTTATCTGATCTTGTGTCCCTCGGCTCAAGATATCAAATTGTATCACTTTATATTTTCGGATATTTGACATTTGTATATATGACATGTGTCAGAATCAATTTTAAACGGAACTACATATGCCAAGGACTAGGAATTGGGAAATACCCTTGTATACTTCAATTGATATTATAAAAAGCTAATTCATGGCCCCCCTTTTTTCCTTTCACACAGATCTGTCTTTTGTCAATCACGCTTCTTCATTGGCTTTAATTTATGTGCATGTACATCTTTTCATAAATCCATGTGACTCATCTTGTTTTTTTAAAAAAAGAGGTCTCCAATACGTGTGAAATCAAAGATGTATAAAGTGCCCTGACCGTGAATTTCCTATTCCGTTCCATCTTTTAGAAAGTTCAAAAGGTCCTAATAGCCACAGTTACACTACGTTTTTAGAAAAACTTTTATTCATTTATCCGATAAACAGTAATGCGGAGAGGATATCATAGAATGTTCTTTACTCCCGTAACTTGGGAAAGGATTGCATTATCAGATTTAGATCGAGGCTCCTTCTTTTTTTTCAAATTAAACTGATCAAACAAAAACAGATTATATACAATCTTTCCGTAAGTGCTACATCTTATTGTGATTATTATCAAAAGAAATCAGTTTATATTTTTCATTGTTTTGACTTATTTTTCATCTTTTTGTGTTCAAATCCAAGCACCCTTGTCACTTATCTGATCTTTATTTCAATCTCCTACAATTTTATCTAAAATGACTAAATCTATTCACACAATAGTGATTTAAACTCATGCAATTGATCGTTGCCATTATAATCGTCTTTTTAAAACATCATTCAATATGGTATAAATGATCTAGTGAGCTATACTCTTTTGATCAAAAAATTACTTTTATCAGATGATGTTTTTGATACACGCCATGGGTTACACCAAACCATGTTATTATTGTCTAGTAAGCTTGCTTTTTTTTGTCTTTATTTAGCCATATATAAAAAATAAGGTTTACTTGGTGTCTTGTTACATCTCGTTTTTAACATCTGATGTATACATTTATAGTCATTTCAAGGAAATAAAGTCGCAGTTTACAAAATTCGGTGCTGTGTAATGCTGACACGGGGATCTCTCTCTTTTTCAGATCATGATCCAGCGTGACGACGCAGAATTCTAACAATAAATCCATTTCCCCTTATGTGTTTCACTAGCTGTCTTTGTTGTCTTTTATCGTCTGCTTTGCTACAAATTGAGAAGAGACATCAAGTCAATCTTTTCTTCAAGTTCAAGCCAGTAATTTATTCCGCTTCGTTTAGCTATTCAAAGGGAATTTAGCTCAGAGAGAATATGGGTGTGTGTGTATGGGTATTCTCGCGTGGTGGATATACTTGCATATATCATCTGATCTATGGATAGAAACACTATTCATAACAAGGTCATGCCCTTTCATTTCTGGATACCTGTCCATTTTCTTAAGAGTGGTCTTTAAAAAAGTGGGGTAATACTAGGGGCACTACAAAATCCAAAAAAGGCAATGCTCCCCCAAACTGCAAAACCATTTAAACATCACAATAAAACACTCGATTACTGGGCAGCTACTGTCAATAGCTTGAGGGCAAAATTAGAATATATCAATATCTTCGAATTATAAAACAAGATGCAATACTATGAATGAGTAATACGATTCTATTGATTTGGCAGCGGTCGTAATAAGTCACTCTACGTACAAGGTCAGCTATAAGATAATTATTGAAATTGCATCTAGCAGAAAAAATCAGAATCAGCTTATAGTTATTTCTGTAGTAGGATACTAAATAGAGATGCAAAATAAAGCTACAGTAAGCTCTGAATCAATTTTTCTACACAGTGTATGGCCTGGCGCCAAACAATGGTAACCATCTTTACGAATTATCAAGCGTGTTTGCTATGGATAATGGAAATGAAATTACTTCTGTAACTTTCTAATACACTGAATCTGTTGTTTCATGTTTTGAAGAAGCTTTAAGAAAAATTTTATAGAAAATATCGATTCAAATGTGTCAGATAAAAGAGAGGCTATATTTCAGTTAGCAGAAAAGGGGTCTTCATCAATGTTGATCCATTAGGTGCATGTTCGCTATGATGAGGTCTAATACATTTCAATTAAAGTAAGAAATGTGCGGCTTTTTCTTTTCACACTCGGTAAGGGACGTAATCAGTATTATACGGGGACGACAGTAAAGGTCCAAAGTTACAAGTGACATACATTCTCATGAAAGGGTTTGTAGTTTGCTCGCTAAGCTGTAAGCAACCAAGGGATAATATGGGATATACTCATGATTTGCTCTTCTCTAATACAGCATTAATCTTTCTATATACAAGCCGGACAAACTTCAAGCAATATTATAGTCAGCAGTAATATCAAGTTGCAATTACATGTTGTGTTGAAGTTCTTACAGATAGTGGACACCATGACCACACTGACCTGGTAGCTTAGTGAATAAAGTCTTGGAAATACTGAAAGGATCTTTCACTGACCATTAGTATCTGTTTCTTGTTGTTTACCTAAAAGTTTATCTCTCACTATTTTAACGATATTGATGTAAATAGTAGAAATAACAATGGAATGCCATCATGAATATAAAAAACCAATGCTCATCCTTTTGCGCTCCCTTTCACAGTGTCAAAATAGTCATTAGCAGTTAAAGGCTTAATATATCTTCTTTATTTCTTTGTTTATTTTCAAAACATGAGGACTATCATTGTAAGCCACGCTTAAAATACTTGGTCTTATCTTTGTTAAATTCATCGGGTGTTTGAGGACAAAAAAGTTAGAATTTCTTCAAGCACTTGAACATTGTGGTAATCTAGAAGTCGAAAATTATGAGGAAACCTAACAAAAAAACCTTGCAATATTGAAGAAACACTCGGCTTGGAATTGAACCAGGTTTTCAGTACCCAATCTTCGGACAATTGGTCCGATAGTTTTGCTTTCATCTGCTGTCAAGCCAGGATAAGCAGATGCTGTAAAACCAGCAGCGTAAAAAGATAGCAAAGAGTGCAAAAATCACGAGTTTGATTTACATTTTCTGTACGAAATACAGATTAAAGTCAATGTCAGTTCCTTTTTTATAATGAATTTAACGGCGTTAGCAAAGATTTAGATAGATGCAAGAAAGCAGATCCGAAATAAGGAATTAAATGCATACGGCTGATAATGCAAGCAACATCAAGGGGCTGAGGAAAGGATGGGGAAGTGCTCTAAGAAAACAGTCAAGCACCTTAAGCGTTGATGCAGAAGTACGTATAGAAAAGGAAAATTTTTGGCCTTAATTACTTGCTACTATTTGTTGAGTAGAAAAGTGAGGCAAAATATTGTAAGCATTTCGCCTTGTTATCTAAATATTCTTCTTGGTTTTAGTTTGTCTGTGAAGTTACTAGAATAATAAAGGCAATCAAGGTAAACCAAAACTATAGAACAGAGGTTCCAGCATGACACAACGTGGAGGCAGCTTGAACTAAAGGTTGGACATCGTTGGTAGAATAAGATCATCCTGTTGAAGGTCGCGGAATTAACGTACAGGTACAGTTTTGAGATGACCTTTTCAACTGCTGAAAGACTTTAAAGAACAATTCAGCAGCATATCACATAATAATAAAAGAAAACAAAGAGAGCCTATGACATCAATTATTCGGTTGTTAGAATGTGCATAAATGCCTTTATGTCAGTGTTGGTAAGAGAAATTGGATCATTGATCCTTTACATCTAAAGTATTTTTTTCCTTGAGCAGTAATGATATGCAGGCATCTTACTAAGAAGAAGAAAAGCACCCAATCCAACAGAACATTATGACAAAGAGACAAACCAATTTCACAACAAGAAACTTGAAAGACACTGAGCCGTAACAACTCGGAAAATAAGTAGAATTTCTGCGTTTAAGGCAGCATGATTCATCAAGCCTGTTTAGGGCAATCAGTGAGCTTTAGTTACAAGCTGAGAGACTCTGGAACTCTGGAATAAAAAGCGACCAGACCATCAATAGTGTTTTAATCTTTTATATCTGACGCGAATAGAAGTGAATAAAGGGAAGAATCTACGTTACGTATTTCGTCCTTATTAGAGTGAATGAAATGAAAGAGTACGGAAGGGACATATAGTGTCTATATGAGATATCTAGGCAACAACACACAGCATTCTCTCCAGCGTATACCTGTTCTAAGAGTAAGAGTTTCAGAATGATACTGTTGGATATCATATAATTGCTCTTCTACAATACTATACCATGGAAGGTAATTACTCATATTGGCTGGGCCGATGATGCTCTTCAGTCTGAGGGCTAATCCTCTTATACTGCAAGAGCAAGGCTGCTCCCAGAAAGGGAAATACAATCTTGAAAAAAGATTGACGTTTAGCAAATCACTGCCGTCGAATAAGGTGTCTACAAAGTTATCATAAAACCATTTATCCAAAGCCAAACGGGGATGAGCTCGCCAAAAACCTCTTGTCTCTGTGCTTTGGTACTGTTAGGCACGGTAGTGTTCAGAATGGAATAACTTTAGCGACATTAGAGAATTGATCAAGCGAGATGAATTCAATCCATTCACTCTAATGAGCGAAAAACAGGTTGGGTCTGCTGAGATAAATATGACTTAAAGGGCTCAGGATATATATGTTGTGCCGAATCAATATACAACGAAATATTGGGTACCATATCCTACATGTAGTTCACTGTTCCTTTGGAATACCAATCTAGTGACAGGACGATATTGAATCTCAATTTCACGTGCTGAACTCTTCAAAATGAAATCGTGACCGTTTTCATGAAAGTTTCCGCCTGTTTCCGAAGACTCCTGTGGTACAGCGTTTAATGGCTACACTAGCCCCCCTTGCGTATGAAAAGACGATCAAGTTTTCGATGTTGCAAATACAAAAGCTCTCTATGGGCTTTTTCTATTTTTTTATTTCTTTATAAAAAATACTTTATAAAATGCTCATTTTATAAATAATATTACAATATATCAAGAGGACACAGACAAGCAATTAGGTTTTAAGAAGCAATTTAGTACTTCTTACCGAACATCCAGACTTGGAGGTAGTCATAACCGGACAAGACACCAGCACCAGCAATGGCACGGAGAATGTTAGCACCGGCACCCTTGAAGAGAGACTTGACACCTTCGTTGGCAACGATTTCACGGAAGCAGTGGAGAGAAGAGTCGTACTTGACGGCAGCACCGGAAGTCATCATCATACGACGACGGACAGTATCAATGGGGTAAGAAGCTATACAAAATGCTATTTAGTAACCAAACTCTCTTTTTTAAAAAGATATAAACTTACCAAGACCGGAACCAGTGGTGACAGCCCAACCAAGAGCGAAGGTAGCGAGGAAGGAGTCTTGGAGGGTTTGAGGCATCAAAGGCTTGACGGAGTCATACATACCGAAGTAGAGACCACGGTAAACGATGATACCAACACAAGAGATGTTGAAACCACGGTAGAGACCGGCAATACCATCAGACTTCAAGGTCTTCTTGTAGACATCAACCAAACCGTTGAATTGACGTTCACCACCCTTCTTGGCAGACTTGGCATCGTTAGCAAGACGAGTACGAGCATAGTCCAAAGAGTAGACGCTAAAGGTCATGTTAATATCAACCTGATAACCAACTTTTTTTTTTTACTTACAAGAAGAGAGAAGCAGCACCAGCGGCACCACCGGAGGCCAAGTTACCGGCGAACCAAGCCCAGTAACCATCACGGTTCTTATCCTTGTTGAACATACGCTTGAACTTATCCTTGAAAGCAAAGTTCAAGGCTTGGGTAGGGAAGTAACGGATAACGTTGGCAGTGTTACCTCTCCACAAGGAGATGACACCTTCATCCTTAATGGTACGGGCGAAACAGTCACCAATACCCTTGTAGGGGGAAGAGAGACGACCTTGCTTGATCATTTCATCTTGGTTTTGGATCAAGAGCTTGATACGTTCGATGGGAGCAGCAGCAGTCTTGGAGACGGCAGCGGAAACACCACCCATAAGGAAATCCTATAGAATGGATAAGGGTAAATAAAACATTGCTATGGTAGTCATAATAGTTACTTACGATGACGAACTTGTTACTGTCGGTGGCCATTTGATATACTTGTTAGATAAAGAAAGAGGGAGAAGGAGAAACCTAAAAAAAGAGAAATCAAAATAAAAAAATTTTTCTTTCCTTTTTATAATTCAGGAAAAACCAGGGGGGCTAATCTCAACAGTCCCACTATTCGGCATTTTAATTCAATCCTCTTATATTTGCTATCACTTTTGTTGACGCAAGTTTAAAAGGATTACCTTTGGCGGTGAACAGCAGCTTCGCCCTAGCCACTTGATTTATTGTGTATCGAAAGAGATAAAGCATTATACTGCTTTATTCTTTATTATGATCCTTACATACAAATCGATATCATCGACATAAATGTAAGTCAGTAACAACCTTTGATTGGTACATCCATTCACTCCAATACCTTTGAAGGCGGAAGTTAAAGGTCTCAAAAAGCAAACTGTTGTTATGGAAAAATGCCATGGTTTAATGCCTTAGCTATCTTACACTGACCACAAGGTATCGCCTGATGCTTCCCTTTTTTTTTTCTCTTTTACAGCTAAATTTATCCTGTTACACTCCAATGTTTGCCTCCTTTTTTTGGGAGTTCTATACGGAAAGGAACGGAGCTAGAAACGCCCAAGGGCACATGCTGGAAAAAAAAAAAAAAAGAGCGATTTATCTAGAAACCAAACACTAGAAACGAGCAATCGACAAGAGTATATATGTGAATACTAGAGATGTCACCTTTATATGATAAGAGACTATGGAGAGCAAAAAAAGGGTTAATCAAGTTGGAAGTAAAACTAAATAAAGGATCGAGCGCTGTCTTTAGGAAAGCATAAAGCAAAGAAGCAATAAAAGATAGCTCTATCTCAATATGCAGCTGCTGTCGCTGTTTGCTCCTTAAAGAATACAACAGCCATTACAGGATCTTTAATAATGACGGAGTAACAATGTATCTTTGAAAATATCAAAAGTTATTTTGTTAGAGATCGATAAAGCTGGTGGATGTCAACTCTGTGATGCATGTAGAGTATAGGCTTCTCATTTAAATACAGTAGACAAACATGATTGGACGAGGCCAGCTGTTTGGAAGAATCGTGGCAAGCGACTAGGCGCATCCTCCAGCTAGTCAAGATTGTTTAAGGGATAAGTGGTCAGTGAAGAGTTAAGAGCAGAGCAATCGATGCTCCCGTATCTGTCCAGATGACTAGATGATTCATCAAGCCTGTATACTAAAAAGACTGTATTAAGGGTAACATCTCATAATATACTTGCAGAGATTTTGCGCTGGCGGTCATCCATGATTTGTGGCGGGTAGCTAAACCTTCTTCCTTATGAATTATTCGTAAATGGAATCTTTCAAAAAGCCCAAGCTCCTTAACGATCATAGCATCTTTCATTTCACGATAAAGAAAGGAAATGCATTCTTTCAAAAAAGAAAACAATTCTGATCCTTTGCCCAAGGGTGAGCTCGTTGTGATAAATATTGAGTGCAATTGCCGTTTTATTTTTTAATAGAGAAAGGGGACGATAAGACAATATTATTGATGTTATATGCGTAAAAAAGGGTGTGCGTATATATGTACATAGTAGTTAACTCTAGTAAGTAATAACAAAAGATATTCGTTTTAAAAGTAGAATTGTTTTACATCATTTACACTAAATGATTCACCACAACTTGGGCATCTTCTTTGCCTTGTTTCAATACGCACATCTAGACACTCTTTACAGAATGTGTGCATACAGCGCATCAAAACATGAGATTTTAGCCTTGTTTTACATGAATTGCAATTTAGCAGTGACTAAAAAAGAAGAGTAAACACACAGTCTATTTATGTCATTTATATGTTACATACTCTGTATTCTTCTCGTTCCTTTCTTAACTTAGCCTCTGCTGGTCTTTCAGATTTACTGACTGCCCCCATCTTTCGTTTTAACAATTCTCTACTCTCTTCTAGACGTAGTCTTGCATGTGCACTTTCCTCTATTGACCGAATCTTTTCAAAAATTGACTTTTGAAGCTATTGGAACATAAGTATTCATTATCAATTGATACTATGTGTGTCTACCTCTGTGATTTTGACTTTAGATACAAGTGCCTTTTCTTTTAACTCGTCTAATAACAGCTTCACTTCATCATTTTTTTGTTTATATACTTCATAAATAGAATTGCTGATGGCTAGTTTGCGATCCAAACATGTCTACAAAAAGCATTATTACTCAATGCTCCTTCTTGGCACCTAGACTTACCACTTGATTTGTCAAGTTTTTTTCACGCTCGGTCATTTGTTTAATATACGCTAGCTGTTTCTCGATTTGTTTGTTGAGTGCATTTGCAAGAATAGCATGGGCATCTTTGGATTTATTCAAAGCTGTAAATATTTGACTATATTTTACACGTTCCGCTTGTAACTTGATAATTTCATCCTCTAAAATAGCAAGTTCTTGAACCTTTTTCACATTTTCTTCCTCCAGTTTTCCGTATGCTTTTGCAACACTCTCGATCTCGCTTAAGAGTTGTTTTTCCATCTTTATAATGCATTAGTAAAATTGTTAACCAATCTTTGCTTCTTTGTGCTTATCCACTTACTGCTTGTAACGCTGATAACTTTTCATTCACTTCCAAAATGATGGATGTTTCTCTTTCTATTCTGTCCCGCAGAGTCAATTCGAAGCTTTGTTCGTCATCAATTAACATTGGATCGAGTCCATATTTTTCTTTGAATAATGTGGCTGCCAACTGTATTTCTTTTACTTGCGACAATTGCTTCAGTTCACTTTCTACCTCTTCTTGTGGAAGAGCGTTGCATATTTTGTCTTTATATTCCTGTACTTTTTCTTCTATAGACTTTAATTCGCTTTCGAGAGGTGCTAGTAATGGTTCTTTTCCGGAACTGTTTGATACAAGTTCATAATATCCTTTTACTCCCGTCTTAGCTGCCATCTTTTTCTGTAGTCTCAATAATTCGGTTTCCAAGTAGCTCACTCTTTCTTTTCTGGCATCGGCAACAGTTTTAAGTTCTGCGATCGAGGCCTTTCCGACATCAATGGATGCTTTTCTTTCTTCAAGGTTCATCTGGAGCGCATCACGTTGTCCACGAATACGAGTCAGATCAGTATCAAGCTTCCTTAGCTGACTCTCCATATCTTTAAAATGACTGACTTGTTCATAATCCAAATCCCTAATGAATCTGCGTCGATTGCTTGATAAATCCTCCACGTTCATTTGTAAATCATGGCATATATCGGAAAGATGGTTACATTTATCTTTTTGGTAGGTTCTTGTCTGAAACAATTGTCGACACATCATTGCTTTATATATTCTAGACTCGGGCACACATATGAGGTCCATTTCCAATCTAGCAATCTGTTGTTTTAAAGCGATTCTGTCTTCTTTAATCATTTCGATTTCATGGAGCTTTTGATTAAGCATTTGTTGAATATGAAAAAGCGGGTCTTGAGACATGGCTTGATTCTACATTATTAAAACACAATTAAATAAAACCAACTCTCTTATGTGAATGCCTTACGTTGTAAGTAGCCACTGAGCCTTCTACTGGAACACCACCATGGTTGATATTTTTGTTATCGTTTTCGATATCCATCTTAACATCTTCGCTAACAAACTTTTTATTTTCCATCTTTTCAAGGTCAAGCTGAGCTTGTTGTATGTTATTTTCAGATGCTGTCAGCTGTTTGTTCAGCAATCTGTATTCTTCTTTTAACATTAAAAGCTAATAAAATATGGTTATTATTCTTTTTCTCTTGTTTTCTTTGATTTATTTTATACTTTGAAGTTTTTGGACTTTAATTGTGTCTTAATTTCTTGAAGTGATCGCTGTCCATTAACCCAATGGGTGAGTACTTGTTTATGTTCTTGTTGAGTGTCCTTTAAAGAATCATTCTCTATAAAGAGTATAAGTATTAAACTATGTGTCGGTTGTTTTACGTACCAAATACAGAATCAAAACCTGTAATGATTTGTTCTCGTCTGTTAATCCATGTTTCCACCAAATGATTTAATTTCGAAATGGTCAAGTCTACAAATTCTTTTTTTCTATAAGCATTTAACATAGTGGGTGTCAAGTTTGTAGCCCATTCTTCGTCAAGAATAATATCAAGACCACCCTTGTCTATATGAATTATGTGAGAATGTCCTATTGTTATAGACACTTTTTTTTTACCTATATTCATTGCCAAAGCTTCGCCAAGACTTGACATGCCATCCTGTATTACATTTGATAGAAATACTTGAAGCTATATTTGTATACATCTCCATTAAAACAAAGAAATAAGAATAAAAATGAGATATAGCTGCTACCTTTTTAAAAGAATCTTCCCACAGCCTTAAGCTTTCTTCATTTCTTAGATTATTAGCTTCTGCTTGTTCAACATATTTTTTCCATCTATTGGCAGATCTCTAAGAGAAATTATAAGTACATAGATGCACCATGTAAAATATTAAAGGATACCATGTAATCTTTCCATTGTCTAATAATGGCCTCTTTACGAAAGGCTTCCAATGGCTCCTAATTATACATTCTTTTTCTTTAAAATCAGTTGTTTATATAGAATTAGAATGGAATTTACCTTAAAAATATCAGCTAATTCCTCTGTGTCTTCTTCTTGATCATCATTAGACGACTGCTGAGTCATAAAGCGCTTTTTAGGAGGAGGCCTTATAGAGACACCTTGTTCATCCGTGTCGCTTGAACGACGTTTATTGTCCTCTATTCTGGCCATATAAAGTATTTATTATGAATATTCTTTGCTTATTGTTTCTTTTCTCTCTCTTTTATTAAAATAATAAATAAAAAAAATAAAAAAGAGAAAAAAAAATGAATAGTGCCGCCAGTGCCAATTGGCGGTTTTCAAAAAACCCTTTGCAGTTTTGTACGCTCCCAGCTTGCGGTTTTTTCTCTGCCCAATCAGCAGCTTCTAAAGCTCAAATGGCGGTGTTGCAAATTCTTAATAAGAGTTCCTCTTTGATTTTTCTCTCTGACTTCTATTCTTTGATCTCTAAAGGGTTTTAAGATTCTATGTACTCTTTTGATCTGGCCCAGGCGGGACGAAATTCTATAGTTTCAATGCGCCCATGATGGTCTTTTATTTTCTTTAATCATATGCATATACAAGACTCGAGCGGGAAAGATATAATATTATAATCGTACGCCCAATAGAGGCTTTAATCATTTATAAATAAAAATATGTTTAAACGTATGTTTATATACAAAAAAAGATATGAGCTTTATTTAATCGCTTTCATCCAACATATCTTGTTCTTCATCTATTTCATCTCTTGGTTCATTTAATGACGGCTTCTCTTCTTCTTCTTCTTCTGCATCAGTATCATATTCTAAAGGATCTTCTTCATCACTATCACTTGGATTAAAGTTCTCATCATTTTCTGAATCCTCACTATCATGCTGATTTCCTTCGATTCCCTCTTCTTTAACTTCAGAAGAATCACTTTCCTTTTTACTGACAGCCTTTCTCTCCTCTGACATGCTTTGATCATCAATACCTGCCTTTTTGATGTAAGCATCTATGGGTCCATATTCCTCTTGAGAAATCATTGAAAACTGAATTGACTCATCCTCTCCTTCTTTTGTCGCTCTAAACCCGAGGCTTCCATACACTTGACTTTCCTTCTTCAATGTGAGCACAAGATCAAATGTTCGCTGAGTGATGCTTGTCACTGCGTTTTCGGATATGCTCGAGAGTGGAATGAACAAGGTTGGCTTTTTGAACCCATAAAGTATACCCGTGGGTAAGAAAAATAAGAACCCATCCTTTGCCTTGAGATAGGCAGTAACATAATATTTGTCTTCTGCGGCCTTATTACTACCTGAACAGACAAAGGCTTGCTTTGATGGCTGTGATATAGCAATACGAGCATGTTCTGTTAGTAGCTGGGCAATGGTCTCATGTTTATCTGACTCCAACACGGATGCCTCCTTATTGACCACTTCTATCTTGATGGCAACTTTATCTTGCGTGTTAAAGACGACAGCATCTTCACTCTTGAGAAATAACGCGTATGTGAATGCCTTGTTTGTCTTTTCGGGAGTAGGCACACATGTACCCAAGGCAAAGTCGTCCAGTCTATAGTTGAACTCGATAGTCTCCGTCTTTGAGTTGCAAAGAATGAGATGCGTAGGAGTGATGATGATATCGTACTTTTTTCTTGCTGGAGATTGAAAAGAGATATCGATCAGACGAACGAGTTGATCTTTGATTAGATCATTCTGATCAAGTTTACGTCGCTTTGCCATTCTGTCATCCTTGTTTTCGTAGTATTCTATTAGACGCTGAATGACATTGGTGCTGCTTGGGTGCTCTGTTAACAGATCCTTAATGGATTGCCTCAATTCGAGATCATCTATGCTTTTATCTAACCAACTTGCCATTTCAAAAATAATAATAATAGAAAATAGAAAAAAAAATTAGAAAAAAGGGAGCCAAGTCGTGTTGGTGTTTCCGAGTTTGAAATATGTCATGTATGTACGTGTAGATGTGATTATTATTATTATGGTTATTTATACAAGTACAGACACATAAGGAAGGCACTTTAAGGACAATCTTCGCCAGCACAACGCTGCCTTTGCCTTTACTTCCTTAGGCTGCGACATTGTCTCGGCTGAGGATCGTGCCAACAGCAACAACAATAACAATAGAGATAGATTAAATGCCTTTCAGATTTATAGTGCATTTTGCCACTGCCAAGGGTCTCTACTCCCAGTTGAGGGCAACGCGCCTTCGTATGCTCAATTGTACATCTATGATCCTTCATATGCTGCTCAGAGGCGATCAGAAAGGAATGAAAACTTGGACAATGAGACTATAGAAAATCTTTCAGCTCTACTTTCTGAATGTAATCCCTTCGCACGCATTTATTGTCATGCATATGAGATATTGAGCAACCATAAGAATTTCAGCACCAACAGCGAAGATAGGGCTAACAACAATGGCTCTGCCGAAAGCGAATCACCTTATATTATCATCAGTTCATCGATGAGAATGCATTTGACTGAAGAAGGCGACAAACGCGCTCACGACCTGCTAATAATGGAAGAGGTTCCCGCAGCCATCTTTATTGAGTATAGCAACAGAAGCTGTTGTGACATCGTTCTTACCTTGAGAAGCAGTAGTAGAAATGATAGTCTCCGTTGAGGACATGAGTTTGAGCAGCACTTTCAACATATCAGCGAGGCTCATGCTGCATAAATGCCAACACACTATGTACTGCTATTTCCTCATGGAACATGTGGGCGACTTTGGGGTTTGTGCCTCTTCTTTTCCCTATTTACTATTACTTCTTTTACCACTGTTCCTGATGTTTAGATGATAGTCCATGACCATATTGTGCCATTTTAGTATCCTTATCCCATCGCTTTTGTAAAGATAGTTACTTTGAGTACCACAGCAAGATGTGCAATATATTAAAAGTGAAGTGTCTTTTCATTCGAGAAACATTCTATTACTGTCGATCGTTAATTTAGCGACAAAGCTAACATAATCGCTTTTCCTTTTTCCTTTTTTCTTTAGTTCAACATGAAGCGAAAGAAAGGCGATGACCCTCCGTCTCCAAAGGCAAAGCACAGCAAAAGGAAAGCGATGTAAGCTATAAGGTTGATACGACATTTATTAAGAGCCCATTAGCCGTCGATCGCGGATTCCCTTCTTTGTTTGCACAAACGCAAACAAATTTATTCAAGAACACGTCTTTCGAAGCAAGTGATAATGATTTTCAAGGAACACCATTATTTAGAAAGGTAAAGGTAATATTTATTAGTTCCAATTGTTTATAACAGATTGTTGTAATAAATAAGAACATCCGTACTACTTTGAAATCTGTTAAAGAAGATACATCTGCTCCTGATCCTTCAAATGCTGTTACCAGTAACAAGTTACCTGTGTCTACAGTTAACAAAGCTACGAGTGTTCAAGATGTATTACTTGCTCCTATTCCTTACACTTGCTGTATTTTTGCTCCCATCAAGATCTTCAAGAAATATCAAGACAAGGTTAATAAGACTGAAGCATTTAAAAAGGAAAAAGAAAAGAACAAGACGACACCTAATGAGCAAAAATAAGTACGATGCCCTTCTTGTGGTGGAACCGATCACTCTCACTCCTCCAGCAAGTTCATTCAAGAGATGAAACCTCAAGACAAAAAAGCAGTTATATCCATCGAAAGTTACAAGAACTTCCTCTTGTCAAGAAGTTGAATTCAAGCAAGCACAGATCATTAAAAGAAAACACCGTGACAGCTATCAATTCCAACAAGTCCTTGGAAATAACAAGCAAGCTGAAGAACATTGATAAAATGGATGCCGATGCTGTTCAAACCTTCATCAAAACAGTACAAGCAAGAATTCAAGACAAGGTCTTCATTCCTTTCAAGTACACTGGCTCTCAAGGATCAAGGATACTTTTCTTTACTTCTCTTGTACAAGATTGATTCCAAGATTATACAGATTGATGCACAAGCGTTCTGAAGACTTGTTCAGCAATTTGAAAGCTTGATAATGAGTTAACTTTATGGTACATAGCCATGTTGTTGTAACACGAGTAAAAGATATTGCAAGATGCTTCTGAAATCATCTTCATCATATTCTTAGGTAAACATAGTGTAAAACCATAGCATCTTTGGCTTCCTCTTCAATCCATGTATAAGATGATATATATTCATCATTTGGTAATACTATTGATGTTGCCCAAAGACGCAGGCATTCGTTATAATAAAATAAGATTATTGCATGACTTATCACGACCGATGTGATTGAGCATGGTGCATCCTATAAAAATAACGTATTCTTTTTCAAGTCTTTTTTAAGATAAACATGACGCTCATTTATGATTTTGAAACAAATTAACTGATTAATGAGGAGAATTGTATCTTTATTAGCGTTGCATTATGCATAAGAAAATTAAAATGAACAAGTGTATTTATTGTTCTATGATGCGATTTAATTATTAA